TGATGATAAGCAATTGGCGCCGCCCCTTGACGGTCGGAACATCAGAAGAGTTTACAGTAAATTCCTGACCTTGGTGAAAAAAGATTTGACTATTGGGTGATGTGAACATATGGGGGAAGATTGGGCCTCCGGTAACGTCCCTACCACAGCGGCATATAACACAAGCACTATTTCAAGCCGACTTTCGTGAGGCACTGGTATCACTTCAGCCGAAGCGACCCCTTTGGGACCAAACATGACTCTGCCACATTTAAAAAGGGGTCTAGGATTAGAACCTTTGACTAAACTCGGTCATTCCCAGGAATTGACGATTGATTATATTATTTACTAGCTATTTTTGCGCGGTTTCACCCGCTGCTCTGCTCCATTTAGTCATATCGTGATGTTTTATAGCATACAGCACTCAGGAACATTGTAGCTATCTATGAGTCAAAGAATTTTGGAAATCCGACCAGTGGTCCCAAAGTTTACCCCCTACATACAAACTTACAAATTTTATCTCTTTATAATATTAGTATAGAAGTATAATAGATGAAGAAAATAACATAAAAATAAGTATTATCAAGTTTTCTGTTGGACCTATTGGAAATAAATAGCATTTAAATAAACAATAATTATTATAATATATAGGTATGTCGGTATGAGACAACAAAGCGCCATTGACAGATATCGTTGAACGAATGCAATGGGCGTAAGCGGTGCGTCACACTTTATCAACATTTATTTGTACATGATATTGGATTATTTTATTTATTCATAACAACATACTTATTCCTTTTCCTCCACAACAGACATTTTAAACCTATTATCAATGAGTGGTGCGTCCATAGTAATATTATAAAGAGGTAAAATTTGTAAGTTTGTATGTAGGTAGGGGTTTATCTTTGGAACCGCTGGTCGGATGGCCAAAGTTCTTTCACTGATAGATAGCTACAATGTTCCTGAGTGCTATAGGCTATAAAACATCACGCTACGATCAAATGGAGCCGAGCAGCGGGTGAAACCGCGCGAGATTAGCTAATTAATAATAAGTATCTTATATGTTAATGCAGGGTATCACCTATCTCGGCATAGAGCCGAGCATAGAGATATTTGACTGCACGGTTGGTGCTGTGGCTGGGCAACTGGCTGCCGTGCAACGTGTCGCGGGTTCGATTCCCGCACGGAACAACTCTTTGTGTGATCCACAAATTGTTGTTCCGGGTCTGGGTGTCATGTGTATGTGAAATTGTATGTTTGTAACCGCACCCACGACACAGGAGATAATCCTAATGTGGGGCAACGTTTTCTTAAAAAAAAAAAAAAAAAAAAAAAGAGCAGGAGAAGGAACGGGGGCGTTTTTAGTCAGTAAGAGTCTGATACTCCCTCTTGCCCCATCCTGGGCGAGAAAAATCATTTGATCATTTTCCCCTTACAGAAAAAAAGGATATACCTATCAAGCCGTCTTTGCGTAAAATAATAAACACACATCCGCACATTCTCACAAACTCTCATATTTATAATATTTGTATCTTGTGTAAAGTTATAGATAATATGCACGGTATTTGTTTTTTTTTATTTTAAGTATCACTGACACTCAAAAACTACTAAGTAGATTTGAGTGGAATTCGGCATAGAGATAGATGTTACGTCCAGAATAGGAGAAGAAATAGGCTATTGTTTGTCCTAGATATTGTGTAAATTCGCTGGCATACATCCAAAACTTGACATCAAAATATTATGATTTATTTTGCCTATACATGGAAGTTAATTAACATTCAGAAACAAAATGTTTTATCTGTTCGCAGCCTGATGGAGAGTGAACCTATTTAATTAAAGGTCAAACACACTCATTACACTAAAATAATCATTATCGGAAATACGTTAAAATGATATCATTAAAAAAATTGCTCATTATTTAGTGCATTATGTGTAAACATTTATATAGGTACTGCTTTGTTTGTTTATTTAGAGGAAAGCGATACTTAAGCCCCACAAAGGAATAATTTACATTCATTTGCATACAGGACTTTTAACGTACCTAAATGCAACCTTTAAAGTGAATGGGTCGGCTCGACCGGAGGGATAATAATCCTCCCACCCTCTCTTCATCCCCCCCAATCCCTAAATGTCCGAAACCATAATCCCGAAAAGTGTAGTGGGCGTTGCAGGGCGGCGCCGATTGCTTACGGTTTCCCGAAATACAAAATTAAAAAAAAAATGTAGAAAATAAAGCTATTCAGACTTCTGTTAAGTATACATTTCCTTTTTAGGTGTTTAAGGGTACCAGTAATGTTTAAAAGTAGTACAATATTGATGGAAAGAGAATACGAAATCTCGGGCATAACTCGACTATCGACTAGTTTTATTATAAACAAAGTAAGTAGAAAGGATCCTGGTTCTCTGTCTTATGACCCTGAGCAGGCTGGGTCGGGTCGCCATGCACCGACCGTGGTACCAATTACAATGACCCCACTCCCCCTATCACTGAGCAAAACGATGATTACAACCGGAAATATCTGCTGGGTTTAAGGTCGAAGGCATCAAACGAAGAAAATATTTTATTACAAATTTCAATAAAAATTAATGTATGTACTTAATATCTGCTGCTGACTTCACGGTTGGTGCGGTGGCTGGGCAACTGGCTGCCATGCAACGTGTCGCGGGTTCGATTCCCGCACGGAACAACTCTTTGTGTGATCCACAAATTCCAATCCACAAATTCAGTTCCGTGTCTGGGTGTGATGTGCATGTGGAATTGTATGTTTGTAAACGCACCCACGACACAGGAGAAAGTCCTAATGTGGGGCAACGTTTTTTAAAAAGAAAGAAAGAAAGAAAAAGAATATCAACTTAAGGAGGAAAATGAGGTTTGGTTTCGTCAGTTATGCAAGCTGTTTCAAAGAATCTCTCGAGGAAAACAGCTATACTAAAAAATTATGAATAAGCAAAAATATTGCTTATTTTGTAGATGCAAACAATTCAATTTAGATTAGCTATAGTAATCATTGTAATCTTCTTTAAGTTTCCATGTTGACGATTTGAGTTTCCATGTTTAGTGGGGTATACATCACAATGCCATATTTAGGGACGACACAACGAAACTGGTAAAAGATCTATTTCATATTGAATATTATCATCTACATGAGGCCTTATCTTATTATCTGATTAATTAGGTATATTACCCTATCCTAGAGAGTAGAGACTGTCCTTGAGACCAGCCTTCAATGCCGCAATGAATTTTCTGGTCTGTCGCCGATTTAAATACATTTTTATAAAGTTATATATTATTTAGGCAGTCTGAAACTGAACATTTTATAATACTTTTTAAGGGATATGAGAGAACGGAGGTAACCTGATTGTGAGTAAGCGTCGAAGGAATCCCGCAATACTTATTGAGTAACAAATGCGTTGACGCTAAAAAGGAGGATACTAAGCATGTTTTTAGCAAAAAAAAAGTGAAACGACAATATCCAAACTCTTTAGTTTAGCTAACCCCAGATACTTGGAAATGTTCGAAGTAAGAAAATATAAATTTGATTTCTTGAGGTTCTTGGCAAGCACTAAGGGACGACTTTGCATTTCGACCACCAACTTATGCATGTACAAAGTCGCGGTCAATAGCTAGCGAATTTATTTCTGGAAACTCGAGACGGTAAGGCGTCACAGTTAGGCTATATTTGGCAAACGGCCTTAGGTTATCCGATATTTTACAAATTAGAGACCAGACCCGACGAGGTCAGACCCGATCGAAATACATTATGTGAACAAGTTACTACATTCGTTCTCAGATTTTTAGATCTTGGATATGTAGGTATAAGTATTTTGTTTATTTTGAACTTGGGGTTATCTCACGATTTGAAACTCTGCTAAACTAAGACAAGCTTTTTTATATGGAATGAATTTGATAACCAACATCAAGTCTTTGTAATTATAGTACGTAATTTTCTTATTTATATTAAACTATTAATAGAAATAACCTGTCCAATTAGGTACTAATTAGCCACTTTCTCCGTCTCTGATATCGTGGCAGAATTGCGTGGTCGCCTTCAACACGATACGCGTTACTCGATATAATTTATGTGACGTCACAAAGACAATGTCTCCATTATAGAACTAATAATAGAAACACATTTTTTGCCTGTGTACATAAATATAATAACAATATGTGAAGGTATAGGTATTTACAATAATCTATCTTATATAGATAGATATATAAATGACTGGACGAAATTAGTATGTGTGTGTAACTCCGGAATGGCTGCACAGAATCAGATGTTTTTGTTTCATGTATATTATAATGTAGCACATTTTATAAGAATTGTTCGATTGCTAAGTACGAGTCTTGCGTATATTATAAGTGGTAAAGTCAATAGTAAAAGAAATTAACTGATATTCTGCATATCACGAAAAACAAAACAATTAACGCAGTTTTGGCAGCTTTTGTTCGAAAACATTTTACCTGCGCCACTAAAATAATTCCCCATAAAGATTCTTAAACAAGTTTTACATAATAAATTTGGAATCATTCAGAGAATGGTAGCCAAACAAAATTAGATTTACACTTAAAAAGTTTTTATACTAAGAGGAAAATAATCAAAAGATTATTCATAGAATCTACCTAATCAGAATTCTATGATTCATCTTTATGAATATCATAAAATTAGTTTGTTTATTCGATCAAGCTTATCTTTGGATCTACCTTTTAGTGTCAAATCCTATCTTGCCGAACATAACAACGCATAGGCAGTGGAAACCTTCAGATACATAATAGTACACAAATAATATACAAGTACCCAGGTCTCATTAAAGTTTCATCAAGTGAGTGAACAGATCATTAGTCTCTGAATGTATAACATCAAGCAGCCAAACCAGTTATGAATTTCATAAAAAAGTATTAATAATGAAGAATCCATTGTCCACGGCCTAAGTAAACAAAGTAAGAATACCTACAAAAAATACTTCATGGTTCCCACAGCTTAGAAATTTTCTCTTTTCAATAATAAAGTAGTTTCACTCACCATTCTCCACTATCTTGGTGTATGTGACATTCAGTTGGGCTGCAAATTGTGTCACAATGCAGGTCACATTGCTCTTTTCGTCAGTGTAAGCCCATGATCCCTGGTCAGGGGCGGGGAGGGGAGCAGGTGTAGGCGCAGGAGTGGGAGCTGGGGCAGGTGTAGGTGCAGGAGTAGGCGCCGGCGTGGGAGCAGGTGTAGGTGCTGGTGTAGGTGCTGGCGTAGGTGCCGGCGTTGGAGCTGGAGTGGTAGGCGCTGGAGTTGTGGGTGCTGCTGTTGCTGACGAGCTCGGTACGGGAGCTTCCGTTGTCACAGTGTCCACTACTGGCAAAATTTTAGGAACTTCTGGCGCCTTAGGAGGATCTACATCCATGGTAACTGTCTTTGGTGTCGTCAAACCATAACCTGTGGAGAAAAATATGGTTCACAATCTTTGTTGGCGAAAAATTCACAATATAGTCATAAAATTTTCATGTAGCATTTAATAAGCAGGATAGATAAGAATGTTATGGTTTGAAAAATACATTAAGAAACATACATTCCATACTTAAAATTAATGTACATAAATAGTTAAATACTTTTATATGCTGTTACTACCTACAGTTCATTGACATTCACATCTGTTTGTCAAAACACTGGTCAGAGATATGATAGGAAACATATACCTACATTTTATTGATTATTATTAAGTATTATATGGACATCACTATATCCTCCTAATTCTAAATTACCTATTTATAAAAAATGTACAAATCATGTATATTACTGTTTTTTTTATTCTCCTGTTTTCATGGGGCGATAACAGCTTGACTTTGTACATGTGATCATTAGCCCTTCATATTACTTTCATACTAATTACACTGGTCAACAAAATTTCTACTTTGTCGTGCCACATGGACTTTTTTGATATTTTTTACTTTAATTGGTGACTGTAGTAAAAAATAAACAGTTAAAAAAAATTAGCTAGACAAATATTTTATTCTATTGAGTAATTTAAAATATTAAGAAAAAATACGGATCTCGTAAATCAAAAGTTTATTTTTTTATAAATGACTTAGAAAATCTAAGATTTTCTTGAATATTTAGCTTCTGGTTGGTCCCTTTTAATTGTCCAGCAGTAATCTGCTAACATATTTGGGCTCCATTTGCCCTGGTACCGCTTTTCCATATCAGAAATATCCTGATGGAACCTCTCGCCGTGCTCGTCACTGACAGCCCCTAAATTGTCAGGAAAAAAATCCACTTGCGAGTCTAAAAAATGGATCTTAAGTGACATATTGCAACCTAATGCTTGATATGACAATAACAGCTCGCTAACCAACTCTCTGTAGCTGTCACTCTTGTGGTTATCCAAAAAATTTGCAACAAAATTTTTAAAAGACTACCATGCTGATTTTTCTAAATCGCTTAATTTTTCTTCTTGAATCTTTTATTAACTCCCTAATTTGAGGGCCAACAAAAATACCCTCTTTTATCTTTGCATCACTTACACTTGAAGTAGACGGTTGTGAATTGTCGTTCTCAACAGACGTAGTTGCAACTGGTATTAGTTCTGGCAATTTTTTACAATGAGAGACTGGTCTTATAGCCGAAGATAAATTAGGGTAAATAACTGTGTTTTTTTTCTTGTAATTTATACCTTTTACGTCAGTGAGACAAAAATAGCAACCTGAAACGTGATCTCGCTGTTCAGTCCATATCATGGGTACAGCAAACGGCATAGGTCGTGCACCTTTTTTCCAGTCAGTTAAATTTTTCACACACGTTATGCAACAGACATGAGGGGCCCAGGATTTGTCTTGATGGGCGACAGAAAAACCAAAACATTGGTGATAACACTCCATCACAAGATTTGTAAAATTTCGTCGTTGTTTTTTGAATGTCTGTCTCCGCAGACATTACAAAAACAGTTAGGATCATTAATACACTTCCTTGACATGCTCACAGGGTTAATAAATCCCAAAAAAGTGTTCAAATTCAACGATAAATATTTTTATAACGATTAACTTGTAAGCGTTTCTGTTAATTTACTGCCGTAATACTAGTTAATGAGTATTACCGTATCACAACAAATAGGAGGCTAATTGACATATGGCAACTGTGATTTAATAATGAGGGTAGATTGATAAAACATAATTAGCTATCAAAGTTCGTGTGGCAAAACCAGTGTTGACCAGTGTTATTAATAAGATAATGGTGAAATGTAACTAATTAAACTGCACTCATAATTGTAATAGATATTACTGTACATATATAGATATTATTGTATGCTTAATAAAAAGAGGCCTAACTAAAAAAGGAAGGTATTTGAATCTTAATAATTAAGTTTAAACATTAAGGTTCAATTTTGAAATACCCTCTGCTATGATTAAGTTCAGTTTTCTATTAAACACACAATATATCTTTATGAGAGTACATAGAATAGCAATATACTGATAATATAAATATGAAACATTTATTCAAATCCAATTATTTATTGTCGAGTCTGAAGTTAGCTGATTGGCTGAGCAGTACACAATTTTGTTCCTAAAAGATCCATTGCCCAGACAAACTGCTAACTTCAGACTCGCCAAGATATGTCGGCCGTACTGTAACAAAACATTAAAAAATTTTCAATGATGAAGTTAAGTAACACTGACTCAACAATGACTATGACTGCATATAAATACTTCTGTACATCTAATACTATTAAAGCAAACTTGTACTTAAACCACACAATTAAGATTGGGTAATAAGACCTTACCCTCTAATATAACAATAATAGATAATTGAAATGGTGGGTATCGTGAAAAAAAACTAGTGCAAATCAAGGCTGCTAATTCAGATTCGGGGCACACACTCGGAACTGGAATTACGTTTCCAGATTAGGGGAATCAGATCAGAATTCCATAAGACGGTTCATGGCACTGTACAGTAAGTTTTAGGTTTTTTAAACCCAGAAATCTAATATTGTGGCCTGCCTCAATGCAGATAGAAAATCAACAAATTTTGAACCCTTAAAATATGATAACAAAATCAGGATATAAATGATTTTGAAACAAGAAAAAAGATCCAGATCATCAGGTACTATGAAATTGTACAGAATACATTTTTATACTATGTATAAGTACCTATTTACTTTTAGATTCAATAAGTAAGAAAATTATGTGCAGGTAGGCCTAAACTACAAGTAAAATTATGTAAGTAGGTTAAGAACTGATGAAGTTATGATTAATTTATGAGCTGCAAATATTGTCTATTACCCTCTTCTGTAACTACATACAAAATTTTATTGCTACCTACAAAAATAAACTATTATGCTAATGAAAGACTATAATAAGATTATTATAAGGTAACCTTCATATGTTAGGTTTTTATATTAAAATAAACCTTTTACTATTTCCAATTCATACATAGGTATTTGATTAATTGACTGAGACAACTACCTAGTTTAATTATTCACCAATGTTTAGGCACTCAAATAAGTAGTTTAGTTATTAATTGTTTCTTTTTGAGGTCATGTAATGCCACAAAATTACTTGAACATATTTATTGCGCATGTAAACAAGATATACGTGATACTTTCATTTTACTTAAAAGAACATTATTCAGGCATAGTAGTAAAAAAGTACGGAAAGATAAATTCGAACAGATAATAAAAATAATCCCAAAATGTCTATCCTCGAACCATGATAATTAATATGTAACCGTTACTGTAGAGTCATAGAAATAGCTAGAAAAGAGCCTCAATAATTTTATATATGCGGGTACATTTTTCTAGAATCTCACAACACTAAAGGGGCACAGAAATCATCTCTTTTTACTGCTAATTGCGCAAATAACGCTCAATCACGACAACAAAGCGCTTGAGCTGTACAATCGCCCCCTACACAGCGATAAAAAGCAACAAAGAATGAATTGCAACATAAATAGTTTTACCAAACGCCACTTACCGTTCTGCAAACAACTGCATAATACCGCTAATAACAAACAAAACCTAAGACGAGACATCTTGAATATATTGCGACGCACTGTTTTAGATAACTGTGCACCAAACTATCTCACAATTAAAAATGCGGTGCAAATAGGTGATTCGACGATAATCCGGTTAGAAACGTCCACGGATACGGAATGTCAAATGAAATGAAGACAGCTGACATGTGTTGCCAGATTCAGTTTAAAAAGCTACTTTTATTTTTTTCCTATGGCAAACCAAATCTGTTATTTTTTACGAGTAGAAACACCCTGAGTACTTCTGACCTCCATCAAAGAGTGTAATAATATTATATCTATCTAAAAAACTACAGCCTTCTTTATATTCTTTAACGGTCACAAAAGCTAGTCCTAATACTGAATAGTGATAAATTGGTAAAAATAACTTTTTAATAAATTTTATTAAGTAATTTTGTTTAATTCTGTGCCTAATTATAACCAATTAAAATAATTTATCTTGCAATATCAACAGACTTTACATTGGTGATATAAAAGACAATAAAATATTTTTCATACTTTTATTCACAAGATGACATCACAAAGGTAGGCAGTAGGAAATAAATTAACCGAAGATTATGATTAAGTTCATGGAATCTTAAAAATAAATGCTTTATTTACAAGATATCTTGAAATAAAAATATTACAATATATTTATATTATTATGTGTAGTAGTAGCGAAAGATGATAGGCTGCTACATAGATCAGATATTACTTAATTAATTGGAAGTTCCTTGCAGGCACAAGTAGACTGATATATTTGGCAATTCTTCATAAATATAGGTAGGTATTTTATTTAGCAACCATTAATAGAAATAACAACACGTATATTAATAATTATGAAATAAATGAATTAACCGGTTATAATAATAATGCAGGTACAGATGAAGTTATATCTATTTTATATGCAGTAAATATTACATCTGAACAAAGCGAAATGACATCTAGGTAGATGTCTCTAAGTAACATACGTTCTTATAATAATTATAATTATATTTTATTATATAAATAAATTATTAACTCTAAATAATTGATCTCTTTAACACATTTTAACATTTCTTATTTAAAACTTTTTTCTTTATTTTAATATAAGTGGCGGTATTTAAGAGTTTTATTTTTCACACTTGAGTATTCAAACTACTGAACATTTATACTTTTTCTTACAAAAGCTGTACGAATACTTAAATTCTAGTAAATATAGAAATGTATTTAATTAATAGGTAGGTATCGCTAAGTACCTAATTATTAAAAAAAACCAACCTTACTTGAACCCGTACAATAAAGGTAACCGTAGTCTGAATATATATAGGAATCAATAATAATAATTTATAAAAGTAGCATAGGTAAGGTACGATGAAAACTTATTTTGTACAAGCAATTTTCGACCTAAATAGTCTACAACCTGTGAAGATCAGCTTCACAGATTGTAGAATCAGAAAGACGGCGTTAAAAAAGTAAATTTATAATTAAAACGATTAATATGTACCTATACTACTGAGATCGAATTTAAACTGAAATTACTAATTAACCACAAAAAGTTTGCATGCAACCAGTGTTGCCAGCTTATTCAACAAACAACTCGAAACGTGCGCGTCCATATCGGCTCTTGGGATCGTATATAATATCACGGGTCCAAATGCGGCATTCCACGTTGATCACAACACCACCTGGAAAATATAGATTTCAAATATTGCAACTACAAAGAATTCTTCTAAAAACTAACGTTTTTATTTGAATTTTAATCACTAAAATAAAAGACGAACTCAATGTTTTGTCACACTTAAAAGTTTATTTAATTTTAAGCGAATATTACTCAAATGGTTGATTAAATATAAAAAAAATACTAACGTCGTGGGTTTTCAAAATGGACGGCGATCAGAGGGCCAGGGACTTGGTCAGGCATGTTCCTGGCCGAGTAGGGAATACGGTCAGCTGTATGCAGTCTGCTAAGAGGGAACCCTGGTGGGTACTCCGCAGGGATGTACTGGATAGGGCCAATGTTCTCCTTGTCAGCGCTGAACTCCCCTCCACAGGATACCCACACGAAGTCACCGTATTGGTTGGCAGGGCGATGACGCTGTGGTAATGAAAATAAACTGTCATAATTACGATTAACCACGATGCACGAATAACACCCTTTTTTTGAGGTGAAAAATCAACAAAAATGGGTTCTCTCGCTCAGGGTATAAAGAGAGTGAGTGTCAAACTTTTACTGTCTAAAAACCTCCCCATTCCTTCTGCTTTAGGCCTTATTCCGTTAGTCCCGTAACCACGGCTAAACATGGGTCGGCCCCGAGTGTGGTGGTGTATTGGCTCATAGAGGCGTGCGCGCCGCGCAACGCTACGCGCCGTACGCTCAAACTCAGGCTCAGGTCTGGTTCTTGCTCGCCAACCACAAACCCGTACTTAGGACTCTCCGCGCGCCGGAGATCATCACTTAATCCCCGATGCCCGGGGTGCCTACAGCTGCGGCTGGTGCGTTAGGAGGATAGCTCTCTCACGCGCTCCGCCTCCTCTTTTGCGATCATCACTGCTTCGCAGAAAGAGGAGACGGCTTCACAGTGCCTCTCACTCCACACAATGGCCTCGACTAAGGCCGGACACGAGAGGTTGCCGACAAATAACGCCCCTGGCGTTGCAGTTGTCAATAGGTTACTGTAACTGTCTAGCCCACATCGGTGGTATAGTGCTTAAAGTTCATAAAGTCAATATTTACCCCAAATGGAACCTTTCGTTCAATTTCTCAACAGTGTCTTGTGTCTATCTAAAGCAAGAGTTCAGTCAGTTAGGTACGCACTAAACAATTAATAAACCACTTACCATCGCTTCCCGTATGTGCTGTGGCATGTCAGGAGGTATGGACATCGGCATCGTCATATTGTATGGCTCCGGTACCCAGTAGTGGATCTAACGAAAAATAAGAATCAATCATTATAATGTCTAATGAAAAGAACTTTCAGGATTAAATTTGCATGGACTTTCAAAACAAGGTAAGGTGATTGTCGTTAAGAAGTCTTCAAATCTATTAAATTATCAAGATCGAGGTCGACAAAGGAACATAACTTTCTTGACCGTTCTACCTTACTACCGGAATAATCTGTCAGAACAAAAAAAATGAATAAGGAAAAAGTTTCAGTCGTTTTAGTTTTAAAGTAATGGGGTGACTGGCAGTCTGGCAGTGGTTGGATCAAAAGAGCTGGTCATTAAGCTCATCATGGTTATGGGCTCGATGCTGATAATGTCAGCTGGAAGACGTCCACTGCTGAACAAAGGAACCGAACCTCCCCCTTAGTCCTCCACGTCAAACGACAACTCGCCACCTGTGTCCATTGACTCCCTGCGACTCTGACGTCGGTACACCTAGCGGGAGGCCTGCCCACGTTACGTTTTCCGGCCCGTGGTCGCCATTCGAGCAGAACTTTGGGCCCATCGGCCGTCCGTCCTTAGAGTGCCGTACCCTGCAGATTTTACGAGCTATGCCGATAACTTTGGTTCTTTGGCGAATTTCCATATTTCAGATTTTCTCGCGTACCTATAGAGACCCCGAACATAGAAAGATAGAAGTTAGGGACCACGTCTCAGTTCCATATATCACCTATGTCAAGCAGTATACGGAAACAGACTGATGATGATGATGATGATCTGTAAGACGGATAGGATTTTAAATTTTTCTGCAAACTTATTATACTTACATGAGACAGTCTAAGAAAGATACAAGGTTTCCCCATGGCGTATCCGTAGAAGTCATCGGCGGTGCAGGGGTGCCACAGCCTCATGGCCATGTCACAAGCGTCGGATCGAAGGTGCTGATCCCGTCGGTTGTGGACCGAGCACGGAGCTCGAGGAGGGTCCTCAGGAATAGAGGTCTCGTAAACTGATGAGAAATTGGAAAAAAACATTATTAAAATATTTAGAATCGTCAGAAGTAAAGGTATTTTTTTGCAAAAATTGGCTGCGTCACTGAAAAGACCAGCTCCGGTAACCTCACTCACACTGCGAAACACAACGTTGCGGTTCCTTCACGCCGGTTTTTTGTGAGGCCGTGGTATTACTCCGGTCGAGCCTACTCACAAGAATATTGTAGCTTTCACCAATTTTAATTTTCTGTTTTCTTTTTTCAACAGCTTTCATTCATCAGAGAATTATGAAAATCTGACTAGGTATTCCAAAAATTACCCCCTAACATACAAAGTACAAACTTGCAAATTCTACCTCTTTGTAATATTAGTACAGATTACCTTTATTATTCGAATAGCTTATATTCAACCAAATAAGCAGTCTTCATCTTTACCAACCTTTACAGTTTGCACACAGACGAAAATTCCTTACCTCTGAGGAAATCATTGAGTCGCTGGTACCAGATGTGCCAGCTGCCGGGGTCATTGCCCCTCACCTGGATCAGAGGCTGCTCCCAGTTGTACTCTTCAGAACGAGGCCAGACCTCCAGCTCTATAAAACAAAAGAAGATTAGCTTCAGATAGAAATTGCATGTAAATTAGTTATGAGTGTTACTGTCTGTTTTTCTTCTAAATATCATTATCATAAGCATCCGCCTATATTTATTATAGTGGCCACCAGATTCTCGATTTCAAACTTCTTAAAATAACAATAAGTCCAGACGATGTTTTCCTTCACCGTATGTCATTGGTGTGTAAATACAGTACATGCCAGGTTTCGAACCCTCATGCACGAGAAGCCATGGGCCACTATAAAACAGTTACAGTTTAAATAAAAAAATATTATAAAGGTATTTAAAAAGTAATAAATAAGTAACCAAAGGCCACCATGGAAACCACCGCGCCATACGATATGACATTTAAGCAGTGAGGTCGGGGTTACTGGCGACAAATATATAGTTGGTAGGTTTGTAAATAGTGTTTTGCTATATTGACAAACTTACCGACATAACGCTGCGGCAGTAGCAGGCCAAGTAGCAAGCCGATGATAGCACCTGCGAAATAAAATAAAATATTTAGTTATAGTCAAGTGTATAAAACGGAAAATTGTTTAAATAGGTTTTTTCGCAATTATCAACGTGAGAAACGTGTCAATTTTTAACAGAAATTATTCGATTCAAAATTTTTTAACATAGGTATTCCATTGGTTATTTGAGTTTTTATCTTATATATTATGTACTTATAGATGATATTATAAATAAACATTATTGAATTTATTTAATGTAACGACTTTCTCACGAGAACGTCGCGCAGCCAACTGACGTACTCCGCGTAGTCGCAACGCGCACGCTGCTCATGAATAAGAGTCCCGTTGTAACTTGAAACCAGTCGAGCTTTTCTCGGTTAATTCACATGAGTATGTCGTTACGTTCAATAAATTTAGTACTTATAGCTTATCATTATAATAGTTAGGAACGATTCATCACAGATATTTAGGCTCGTTTCGCAACCCTAACAACAGGACCCGAAAAATGTTTAACTTTAAAAATATGAGTAGGTAATATAAACGTTTACTTGTCAATACCTGCTTATTACCTACTTAATTCCGACATTCGTCTATAGGTAGATTTTTATCCCTACTTACCTAATGTACCAAACATTCCAATAGGAAATTAACTCTATAGGTACCCAGTCTTTGTGTGCAGATGACGTCAACACAAACCAATAAAGTATATGACGCGATAAAACTTCAATCTGGACAATCCGGGCCATTTAAGTACATATATCGATCAGAATCCAGCCTTTTATTATATCTATTAACGGTTTCTGCTCCTCTAAGTAGTAGTTACCCCTTTTTTTTGGGGGGGGAATCACCTTTTTTTTTTGTGGCGGGCGAAAAGGAATGTTACCCATTTACTAACACCTCGGCACATTAAAGATGTGAAGAAGCTTAGATACCTCCCTACATATAATATACTAGCTACTCTCGCGCAGTTTCACGCGCTGCTCAGCTCCGTTTGATCGTAGCGTGATGTTTTATAGCCTATAGCACTCAGGAACATTGTAGCTATCTATCAGTGAAAGAATTTTGGCAATCCGACCAGCGGTTTCAAAGATTGGCCTCTACATACAAACTTACAAATTTTACCTCTTTAATTTAATATTAGTAAGTATAGATACATGCTAATGTGTTGTGCAAATAAAATTATTTCTTTCTTTCTTTTCTTTCTTTTCTAATTTGCCGCAGTTTCACCCGCTGCTCTGCTCCTACAGATCATAGCTTGATGTTTTATAGTCTATAGCCGTCCTCGATAAATGAACTAACAAACAAAAAAAAATTGTTCAATTTGCCACGACATTAAAGACTAGTGTACCACATACATCTCAACATGTAAATCAACACGATTCTGCTCTTCAACAACAAGAAATCATATAAAAATCATAATTTAACCCATAAAGATTGGTTTCATTTCACAAAACGCTACTAAACGATAAGTTTTGGCATCATTTGTATAGAAACATTCGAATAGAACTCACAGATTTATTTATCGTCGTTAACAAAGGGACGCAAAGACTACAGGCGCCAAAAGAAGGCAGGCGCCATAATGTCTGACGCTGGGCGGACTTTATTCGAGAGAGTAATTCTTTTTACTAGTACATTACGTAAGATACCAGGTACCTAATTGTGATAGCTTAGTAATCAAGGATGACGAATTTCGCATAAAAATTAAGTACGCGTTTTATTCTTCAATCGTGTTAATTAGAGACACAATACAAGAACATTAGGTGCGCGATATGATGAATTAAGTAACTACACTTAATAAAACCCTTAATTCTATTACAACGACACAAGTAGGTATCTAGTACCCGCGAATGTAATAAATAGATACCAATAAAGTATATTATATAAAACATTAGCAAACTGAAGTAGCAATGGGCAGGTCACATTAGTCGAAGAACCGGTGACTTTGGGGTAAACGTGTTCTAGAGTGGAGACCACGTCTAGGCAAACGTAGTGTAGGGCGCCCTCCAGCTAGGTGGACTGACGATACCCGGAGGAAAGTTGGTAGTGATTGGATGAGAAGAGCTGAACATCGAGCTCAGTGGTGTGCAATTAGGGAGGCATATGTTCAGCAGTGGACGACACCAGGCGATTCATATAAAACTTTAAACAAAAAAACCAGCACCGTGCTCAGAATGAAACAAAAGCACTCAACTCTTATACTGACCAAACATAAATAGATTATCTACACACATAGTACATATACCTATTTGATATTTCATGTTTTAGCTTCTATTTAATTAAGTCACAGTGTGGACACATAAAAATGGTCACAGAATGCTAGTTATTGAACTAATGGCTCTATGTCACAGGGTGTGGTTCGAAAATGTAAACGGTGCAGCAAATGGGTGCACCTGCCTTCATTTCCTGGGTGCAGCCGCAATGTATGAAAGAAGAAAAGTTACCTGTAAACTGAAACTATAAGTTCGTTTAGGAAATTACGATTATTATTCAAATATATAGTCAAATACTTTAACAATTTCACAGATTTTAAGCAAGAACGGGGAGACAAAGTAATTTTTTTTTGAGTCAAATACATACTATAGATTCTACTTATAGCTAGAAATATAAGAACATTAAGCAAGTATATCGTAGTCAACAAATGAAAGTGTATATCATTCTTTGTTTTATTTTTTCAATCAAGCAATGAATTGATTTTTGTAAATAAGCCATAAAACAGCACTTTAACACGTCAATATTACGTTTCAAAATTTGAAAACAAATATTATCCGCTGTCAAATGTGTACGCAATTGTTGAGCTTTCGGTTGAGTTACAAAAAAAGTGTGCTATATCAACTCTAGATGGTTAATTATGGGATTTGCTTGCAATGATAGTGAATGACAATTCAAATACAATGGGTTTCAACCACCTTCCTTCTATAATATTAGAGGGGTAAGTATTATTGTAAATACGAATACATTCAGTTCATTTTCGGAAGAGACAAATAAGAGTACTAGCTGACTGTAAAAACAATCTATTTAGTTAATGCACCAACTTGAAAACATGATCTTTCGCGCTATTACGAACCGTAAGACCATGAGTGGCCGTCCTTTTGGGGATAAGCGTTTTAGAGATTTAGGAGTTGGGGGAAGGGCCTCTCAAACAGCACTCACACAGCGAAACACCATACGCAGTAGTTGTTTCACCTCGGTTTTCATTAGAGGCCTTAGCATTAGAGGCCGTAGTATCACGACCACCAGCCGACCCATTCAAAATTAAGAGCATAAAGAATCAGAAACTTGTAAAAACTAATTTTACTCAGACATGGAAACTGTTTAGCCAACAGCACTTGTTTATATGTTTGCGTGACCATTAGGTACCGCGTTATCCCTAAGCCGAGTCCAGGCAGTGAAACCTTACAATTCAAAGTTATACTAAACATTATTTAATTATTAATGGGCTTTTGTTTTCATCATTTAATTATATAGACAAACATGACATGCACAATTTATTTATTAGATACATACAAGGGTGATGGACAATTTATTATATGCTTTATTTATGACATTATTTTGGATATCTTGTTTATATTCTATCGCGCAGCATACATTTAATATATAAGTTAGAAAATAATAGTTTAAATCTAACTTTGCACCTTCAAACTTCGGCTCGGAATTCTAGATATTTTACTGGATTTATGGAATCGTACCAAAGTAGTGAGTGTAGCAACAAGCCAAACCACTAACAAAACTGTAAATAAAGTATACAATCTGAGGCGTAGACTGTTCTGCTTAATATTGAATCTGTGGTACTTAATTACTTTTCCAATAAAACCAACAGAAAAACAATTTACAACACCTAATTAGACTAATTGAGTACACTTAAAAAAAACACGAAAAAAAGTAAAACAATTACCACACCATAAAACCAAACAATAAATTAAATAAATAAAAACATAATAAACCATTTAAAATTAATATCAATTTGTTTTGTGTTCCAAAATAAAAATAAAACAAAATAAGCCTAATAATTTAACTAAGTAATTTACTTATAATTGTGCACCTTTGTACATTCGGAAATTATGAAAGAAGTGTTAATAAATTAATTAATTAATAATAAAAAAATGCTGTTACTTTCACTCACCGATAACAAGGACCACAGCAGCAACTATAAGAATGATCTTGATGGTTCGTTTCTCCAGCCCCATGGTTCCCAATTCCTAATTCCGGGCTCCTAATGCCAGCACGTCTCTCCTCACGGAACTACCAACACAGAATACGAGCTCGCGATTCTCTGGGACCGGGGAGGATCCCACTGGATAACATACATTGCTGGTTCATTCTTGAATATTTATGGCAGAGAAAGTAAAATAATTGTAAGAATATTTAGGAAAACCGCACGAACTGTATTTATTACTTTAATGTTAAATATGACCATGACTACAGTTTTTAATTATTTTTCAATATTTTATTGTATTGAAACGTAGAATAAATTTATTATTACCTAGGAAACTATCCAATTATTCTAGTTAGCTAAAGTAGGACGCTCAAACAAAAAAATAATAAAATAATTTTTACTACGACATTGCTACGCCTCGCCTACGAATTGGCTACAACACGCCTACAGAATTGCTACGGCTACATTGTAGACTCAAGGCAAGTTTTGTTAAAGTACTGTTTTTTCAAAAGGTGTGAAAGACGTTATTTTTCGTGATGGCAAAGCTAGTACATAATCATTATATTTTATAGGTACTAGCTTCAGCCAGCGGCTTCATCCTTAATACTAGAGTAAAAAGTAGCCCATATGTTATTTCAGACTTAAAATTACATTCGGATCTGTTAAGCAGTTTTACGTAAAGGGTAACAAACATCCATTTATCCTTACATACTTTCACGTGTATAATATTAGCGACATGCCCTGGCTTTGCACTTTTTTTCTCGTATATTAAATAGATATTAGTATACATAGAAACCGTCCTCTTCAATCACTCTATCCATTGAAAAGTACCGCATCAAAATCGGTTGCGTAGTTTTAAAGATTTAAGCATTCACAGGGATATAGAGATAACAAGTGACTTTGTTTTATACTATGAAGTGATTAGTAGCGTTATCTTCCAGCCAGCAATGTACATTGTCCATTGGGGGGTCTTACGATGGCGACGTGGCGTCGCATGCTGGCGTCTCGTTGGCGCCGTCGGAGTGAGCACTATCAAAGTACCGATTTCTGTACCCCCAGCACCTCAGCACCCCAGTGCTAGCCAATACGTGACACCATCACCCAATGTTGGCCTTGCAAAATCCAATTATCATGTAATTCGGACATGATATGGAATGGTGTTAAATGCCCTTTAACTAAATTATAAATTCGTTCCCCTACCAGAATCTTTTATTGAGGTGCAGGGTAATAAATAATCGTATATCGAAATTGTTATTATGATTTCAAAACAAAGAAAGGGCTTATATAAAAATGTATAAACTTCACATCTAGATCCGGGAAATACAAGTGCCAACCAACCCGATACACGTTTTCTTTTTCTTCTTTTTTAAGTGAGTTTAATTTTTGTTTACAGTACGTTTTTTTTAATTGACATTATTTTCTCCAAAGAGTTTTCAACTAAAAAAATTAAAACTTAATTTTCAACTTAAAAACTAGTTGAGTCCACCGCATATTGAGGTGATGGATAATATAAATACATATATTTGTTTTTTTCCTATGAAATTTTGCACAACCCGGTACACGTTTCACTGCATCCAGTGGGATCACATTTCAGGTATTCCGCCATTGGTAATTTAATTATATTGGTTTTTGATAGTGTTTTGTTTTATGCTTTTTTGTTTAGTAATGGGCAACCATTTAGCCATTGTCCGGCCTGGTGGTAGCCGATGATGCGACCTACGATGGAGCACGTAGGCATCCATAAGCAATCTATTCACTTATGCTTTGAAGACCTTGGTATACTCAAACACAACCAGGTTATACTACTAATCAGTCTTTAAAAAAATAACTATGCAATGGTTGCTTAAAAAATCGGTAACATAATCATCATCATACCTCTGCCACAAGATTACTTCCAGAGAGGCTGATTGTAAACAACCAGCATCATCATTCATTTGTTCACCATAAAAAACAAAACCAATCGATTTATCACAAGAAAATCGCAAAGTTATATACACAAACAAAACTTAGCCAATGAAAGAGAGAGTAGACCTACCCTCTCAGTATTAGACAGAGATGGGGCATGTCATATGATATCTGTGATGATATCCAGAGGTTATTGACATTTGAGACAAGGCGAGATTTTTATGTGACAGACAGACTGACGCCAGAGAGCTTAAGATATTCTTATTAGTATTTTATTAATGATAGAAATAGTTAAGATAAATTTTGCTGTTACATTAATTGTTAGGATTGATATTTGTTTGTCTAAGAAGAAATTAAATAAATAAATACTTTCAGACAATCCAAAAACCATCAACATAAATATCGTGAGACATAAGTACTAAATTTAAAAAGAGGATAATTGATAATTAACTTGTCCATAATCAACGTTAAATAAAACGAGGTGCAATTTTTTCGACCAGACTATGTAAAGTATGTAGTTGTAATCCCGGCCAGGGTGGTAAACCGAAATATTTAACCGGGGGTCAGCTTAGAGCAGAAGGAATGGGGTAGTTTGGTAGTTAGTATAAAGAAGTGTACCATTCTCTCTTGTCCCACATAGTCCTACGTCGAAAAACAGGCTACCTACTTTCAAAAACCTATCTTTCTGCTCCTATCTTAAGGTTAAATCGTTTATTCGTGTTTATTGATCAATTGATTGGGTCTTTGTGCCAGATTTGATTGAGTAATCATGACTCTAGAATAGCATATTTTACTTAATAAATTTTTAGACATCATTATTATCACCATCAACAACATGATTCTGTCCACTGCTGAACCAAAATAGGCCTCCCCTATTACACGCCACTGAGATCGATGTTCAGCTCTTCTCATCCAACTACTGCTAACCACCCTGCGGATATCGTCAGTCCACCTAGCTGGAGGGCGCCCCACACTGCGTTTACCTAGACGTGTACTCCTCTCTATATACCTATTGTCGGCCATCGCTGAAAAATCAGCGCTGCGACACTGTCTCGCATAGTGTCGCTGCATATGCTGAGCGAGGGCCATTTCGCGTGGTTATGATGCACATTTTTACTTATATTACTCTTTTTTTACCTATATTGTATTACCATGTTTTTTTTTTGTTTTTGTGTTTAAACACCTGTTTGTTCTGTGTCTTATGAGCGTCCTAGACGCGAATAAATACTTTTTTATTTTTTCATGTAACTCCATTCGCGATTACCAACTGAAATACACACTATAAGAAATTACAAGCGCCTAGACCTACATATAGCTGCCTACCCTCTATCGCTGCAGGGGTTGTTGACACGCTGAGCGGATTACGAAGGGTGAATGAATAGCGTTGTTAATAAACATACAATTTCTATGTAGATTTATTGGAAATTATACTAAATTGAGCTGCAGGGTTTGCTTGCGTAAACTGAAAGTACATATTGAATTCATTGAATCAATGGTATTTATTTATTTGTTGGGCATGAAAGAAAATAATATAATGATTACAGTTACGGTCGAACATAATTGATTGAATTGATTTATGTGTTTAGTTGTTGTGTTGAAAAATTAAAGGTTATGATCATAGGCACTGTTGTAAATAATTATGTCGGCACGGTTGACGCAGTAACTAAACAACCGCCTGCCTTGCAACGTGTCGCGGGTTTTTAATTGCCGTTTTTCTGTGAGCCACATATTGTTGTTCCAGGTCTGTTTGTGATGTGTGAAATTGTATGTTCATATCTAAACAAACTCACGACATAGGAGAAAATCCTAGTGTAAAGAAACGAAACTTTAAAAAAAAAATACTTATATTAAAAAGAAATACCTTCAGGTAGGCAAAGTAAAAAACAACAAGTAAACCACATAACAGCTTATAAGAAAATCTGGTACACAAAAACCAAGCGCACAATTTGGCCATTGTGTGGAATTCGCGACATTTTCGCGCTAACCCTCTGGCGCCGGGCAGTCGGGTACGTTCTCACCCTCCGTCCGCCGTGCCCTAGTTACGGGTCTGTTCCACCCTGGTACTATAAGCACCTACAATATACTCTCTTCCATAATGACGTCATTCCGTCTTCCTTGTATGCAAAGGTATCTTTGGAGAGTATTTATATGATATTTACTTTTATTTATGGATCTCGGATTTACGATTACTACTTACCTTTTGTATTTAAATGCTTATGTTTATAGTGTCTTAATTACATACATATCATAATAAGGATAGAATGAATAATATTTTAGAAAAAAAAAAAATTTATGTTCCGAGTGAGCCATTGAATAAAGGTGGTAAGTTTGTCTTAGTTCGAAGTTGTATAAGTTACATTTCTCTGAATAACTGACACCTGCACGTCGATTCTATAAAATTTGTTTAATTTTGAATCTTGTTCGAGTGCGAAGTGAGTGTCGAAGTGACGAAGTAATTAAATTTTAGAATGCCACTTTTAACGTCATCTCATACTTTATCTATCAATATGTTGCTGTCAATTTAGTTCAACTCGCAAGTGTAGCGCTAGTGTACTAATACTCACGGCGGATTCAGATTCGAAGTTTAGAACAGAATCACACCCGACCTGTATTCCTAATTGTACTTTGGAAATCGGGAATCTGCTTTGAGCTAACGTAGTGATTAATCCTCAAACTTTTTCCGTGTGACAAAAAACCTTTGTTCAGCCATGTGTATATAAAATTGTATGTTTGTAACGCACCCACAGGATAAAATCGTAGTATAGGACGTTTTTTTTTATTTATTTATTTATTTGAGACTTCATGCACAAAACATTGTACATAGACGGACTTAATGCATGAGCATTCTCTACCAGTCTACCTTTGGGTGATGCAGAGATAATCTAGTGGCAGGGTTTTTAAATTAAATATATGATCTGATAATGCTCGGAAATATTTTTTGTTCATTGAAATTCATTTACTGCCGTACTTTTTATATACCTAAGTATTAGTCACAACATTATTATTATATACTTCAGTCCGCTACCTTGTTAGCGTGGATTAGTGACATCCTGCAGATTGTTGGTATAAAAACTATCCTATCTTAATAGTCCTTTCTCGAGTTCCAAACTAGACGTGAAGAAAAGACATACAGACAGATAATAAATTACTTTCGCATATTTATAATATTAGTATGGATTATCTTAGAAGTTAACAAACATTTTTTTCGTTTGTTGAAACCAAAATTAATTCACTTTGTAAGTTCTCATGCTGATATTCCAACCCACCAACTACTACCTTACCTGAAGTTACCTTTCTCCATACCTTCTTTACTTATTAAAGCTAAGATTTTGAGTAGCATCAGGTTCGGTCTGGAAAGTAACAGGACTTAATACACAGCAGGTTGTCGCAGTGATTGGGCAATCAGCTGCTACGCAACGTGTTACATGTTACATAATCGATTTCTGCTCGGAACAAAGAAGACTTTTTGTGTGATCAACCAATACTTATAGGGGTGTAATTGTCCAATGAGGCACCGCGGCCTCGGCCCAGAGCAGGAGAAGGAACGGGGGGGGTTTTAGTCAGTAAGAGTCTGACACTCTCTCTCGCCTAACCCGGCGGGAGAAGTCATTTGATGATTTTCCCCTGACAAAAAAAGGGGAGGTATAATTGTCATGGGAATTTGCTTGTTTGTAAACGCAGCCGCGTCAGGTTTTAGAGAAAAAAAGAAGAATTTTATCTTCTTCGTAACAAACTCAGCTACTCTTCAGGTGGATGCCACAACGTAGCCTGCAAATATTAAATTATCTGCGTTTTTTTTATTGCTATTTACAGCTCGATATTTAATAGTGTGGTGATTAAACATATTCTTAAGTTAATACCACGTGTACCCGTACTTACCTACTTAGATATTCAAACTTTTTTTTTATGGCAACTGAGTCTTCAATCAAATGTTGTCGACTATACTGCCTATTCAAACTTAACTGTGCCATATAAAGTAGGTGTCAAATGTAGAATTTAAAAATAATAAAAACTTATCGTTTCGCGTCCTACCTTGAATACACCTTATAATGAACGCCCTTGTTCAGCGTTAGAGAATGCCTTTTAGCATTAAGACCGCCTTTATATGTATAACATATAGAGTTAAATAAATTAATAAGTTAATAGACTGTCTCGGGCCATATAATTGTTTTTAATCGGATAATGTTGTTTGTTTAGGTTCCTTCACACCAAATACTTGTAAATCTTTGGAAACGATGACTTCCTTTATTGTTTCTCAACTAGTTTCTAATCACAAGGGGAGTCTAGTTAATTCAGTTATTTTTCAGTAAATAAGAAGAAAGTCGATCAGAGCGTTACCGCGGAAACAACCACAGCGTTGTATTTTACCATGCGAGTGTGATTATCGAAGATTCCTCCCCCATCTCTCACGAATCTCTAAATCTCCAAAACCCTAATCCCCAAAAGGCCGACAACGCTCTCGTAACTCTGGCGTTGTCGGAGGGCGGTGCTGATTGCTTACCACCAGAAAATCTGCGTGCTCTTTATAATATTACACATTAAACCTTATTTGCGTTTAAAAAAGCATCCAATGATTTTTCCAGTCCTGATGAAACCAGCCGGAGTTGCGGGGTAAGCGCAATGAGGCACCGCGAGCTCCGCCCAGAGCAGGAGACGCCCGAACCTGGGCGGGAGAAGTCATTTGATGATTTTCCCCTCATATAAAAAGCCCTGGTGTAACGAGATGGAGTATGATGAGATTGACTAAAAACCACATCATTACTTCTCCTGCTCCAAGCCGCGCCCTGGTACACTATTTAGCTTGCATCCACAACCTTGGCTGGATCAAACCTTGCACTCATCACCTTCATACCCACGTTTTTGATTAACAGCATATTATCAGTTTCTTCTAGGATACGCCACAACATGTCTCGTTGAAAGACAACGGGGCGTGGAACAATAGACATGTCACTCATTAGCAATTAACTGAAGTGTTATTTTTAGATATAATGAGCCAAAGTTTTCTGAACAATAATGGCATGTTGACAAAAATGGAGACATTACTTGGTAGATCTAATTTTGGATTACTGAAGGGAAAATCACGTTAGTAAATCCTTGATCGTGGCTTATGTATTTTTATGTGCTTCTGTATTTTTATAATTAAAACTATTGGTTAAAGTGTTTTCTTACAGAATACTGGCGTGAAACAACCACAGCTTTGTGTTTTGAATTGTGTATGAGGTTACTAGAGTCCCAATCCTACCCCTCCCCCATTCCTCCGCAATCCTGGAATCCCCTTATCCCCATCATGCCAGCAATGCACTTGCAAATCCTCTGTTGTTACTGGTTTCCATGTGCGGAGTCGATTGCTTACCATCAGCTAATCCTTCAGCTCTTTGCCAGTGAATAATATATCACATAAAAAATCGAACGTGCCTACGTACCTACCATTATTTGTTACGCGCAGGTGCAAAAAGTGAAGACTGATTCAAAACTGACACACATTCGCATTTTTAGATTTATACATACCTACATATAAAAGTAAATAATTATCAACATGTTTTTATAGATTACTCAAATGTCAAAAAAATTAGACAGCTATATCTATATTAATATTATAAAGAAGTAAAATTTGTAAGTTTGTATGTTTGTAAGTTTGTATGTAGGGGGTAATCTTTGGAACCGCTGGTCGGATTGCCAAAATTCAGCTGCTGAGCTGAGCAGCGGGTGAAACCACGTGAGAGTAGCTAGTAGTATATATTTCAATAATTTGATTGTTTTACGAAACACGAGGCCAGCTAGCAGACGAGTCACCTAAAAGTATGCAATGCAGCACCAGAGGAGTGACAGGCACGTTGCCGGCCTCTTTTAAGCATATGCTCGTTTATCGAACGTTTCAAGTTCGTATTGGTTCGGAAATTCCACCGCCAAAGATCATTCCAAAGTTATGCTGTGCAGAAAGTTGTATAAAAATGTATTATTAAGTAGTGAAACTTTTTAGGAGCACTGAGTAAATAAAAAAAGCCTATGAGACGGAAGTACTATGTAAGTAATGCGAGAAAGGTACCATCGAGGATCTAAAGACCTATAATCCAAAAATATTATTAACTATGCATTGCAAATTCTGTCACTACTTTTTGCAGGTACGTAAAGGTAATGGTGAGCTTGCCAATAATATGGGGGTACAACTACAAATAAAACACGGATGAAACCTAAATTGGAACCAACTATTGCGTGTTTATTGACTGTCCGTCCAGAAAACATTACATAATTCATAAATATTTAATAAATTTTAAATTTCATTAACTTTATTTGAAGCGTGACAAACAAAAGTTAAATTAGTGGCGCCCTCTGGCTTATTCTAAAACGAATACAAATTAATCGCCGACTATGTGGCTATTGCTAATGGCGCTTGGCAGCCGGCCTGGCATGACCTCCGTGACGACCTTGGCAGCCGTAGCGAACAATTGGCGACCTTGGCGACTAACTGGTAACCATGACCTTACAACACTTATAACAACTAACAGCCGGTCGGGACCGGCAACCACCAATTAGCATGACTAGTGATCAACTATCGATCTTTGGCAGTAAGTTGATGAACTTGGCCAATTGGGGTTCGATGACCTTGGCCGATAGGCGATCAGTTGGTGACCTCGGCGACCAATTGGCGGGTGGGCCTTCACCGCACAGAACGCGTGAGTATTTACAGGATAGCGGGAGCTAGTACCGCCAACGTTTGGCCTACAAGTGGAGCACGCTACTTCAATACTGCTAGACTCCTGGCTCTGAGCTGCCTAGACTCGTCTGGCTGCGTGTTGTGGTATAGCTCCGGCGTATGAGCATGTTCAAACATAAGTGCTACTCAAAGGGCCCGGTCGGGAATTCTGTACGGTGGAGGCTTCGCTCTGTGGCCAACTGGCAGCGACTGGCGTGCTTAGGCGCGGTCCACCATCAGCTCGAAGTGTACGGAGCCGCGCCGCTCGTAGCGGTCGTAAAAGATGTTCTTGGCCCACGCCTTGCACTCTATATTGATCAGGACACCGGCTGGAAACGAACAAAATGTATTTATTAGTAATGAATCTCCCCTCACTTGTCTATTTTTATTGTGAATTGGATCTCCATAGCACTCCTATATTATTTTGGATACTTACTCCTGGGCTTTTCGAAAAGTACAGCGACGAGGGGGCTGAGGTAGCCCTCCTTGTTGGTGAAGGGGTAGTAGTAGGCGGGGAAGCCCCTGCGGGGGATGTACTGCACGGGCCCAATGTTCTCCACGTCAGCAGGGTTCTCGCCCTCGCACGACACCCACACCGTGTTCGCATCGGGCTTGCCAGACTGATAAGATAACATTTTTGATAAATTCTTTACCTCAACCTTAAAGCCTTTTCATGATCTCATATTATAATTTCAAAAACTCAGCTATGAAACAGAATAAATGATGCATAATGCTGTTTGTGCAAACCACTATTTCGGTAGTGTGTTCTCAATCGAAGATTGATTATATTAATTGATTACTTACCACCATCTTGATGTGCTGTTTCAGGTCATCTGGCATGTTAGAGGGCAGGTCCTCGGTGTTGTTGTATGGCTTGGGCACCCAGTTGAAGATCTGAAATGTCGAAAATACAATTTTATTAACACGATTTCCTTTTTTATCATCGGAAGCTTTTTGTTGTAGTTGTCGTTCAAAATATATTTTTCCAAATATATTTTTTTCAGGCTGTTCAAGATTTTATGAAGTTTTATGAAGGTTACCGAACAGGTTGACAGGTTTTCGGATGTGACGTCGCCCGGTTTATTCAGTTTTGTTTTGTGACTCTTATATAAAAACATTCTCTCGTTTGTTATCGGATTTGTTCCTATGTCGTGGGTGCGTTAACAAACATACAATTTGTTATACAAATTACACGCAGACCCGAAATAACAATTTATGGATCACACAAATCCAAGAAATGGAAACCTTACCTTATTCAGTTTGAGGAAAACACAAGGTCCAGCTTCTTCATAGTTGTACTGGTTGGCGGAGGTGCAGGGGTGGAAGTCATCGACAGGCACATCGCAGACCTGCTTCTCTCCAGTGGCACCGGTCGTGAATGAGCAAGGAACCCGGTACTCTGCGCCACTCGCCTCACCAACACCACTGCCCTTCTTGCGGTACTCTGAAAGAAGATGGGCAAAAAGGCCTAAGTGAGTTTAGAGTATAGGTAACTTGTAAAAAATGCGAAAATGGGCGAAAAACATTACAGTTAGATATGAATTCTCTAGCCGAGGGTGAAACGAAAGCTAGTGTCAAACTGTTACTGACTAAAAACCCCTCGGTTCCTTCACCTGCACAAGGCCGGAGCCGCAGTACCTTCTCGCGCTTACCCCGAAGCCCTCGGGGCTGCGGGGTAAGCGCGTGTAATGGTGTAATGGTTTTGTTGTTATAATCTTTAATAAATTTACGACCCTCTTTTTACAAACATTATAGTTGGTTGTAAAGTTTGTCGTCAAAAAGTCAATATCTATATAGTTACTTGTTTATATATTGCAAATAAGCAAGCGTATGTTATTATTTATTAAGTAAAGTTCCACTTAGATACCATGTAGGTAGACTTAATGGAATTTACTTTTCAAAACCAATCCATTGAACTGTGTCCGTAGAAGGTGGCCTTGGAGAGTGATTAGCGGATCCTAGCATTGATTAAGAGCAATGACACGATGACCTATTAAGATAAACGGTTGTGCCAAACTGTTCGGTCAACGTGAACTGAACAACGTGTCTTTAGCAGATTTTTGCTATCATCTTTAATTTGGTTAGGTCTGGTATTTAGGAGACGGTCTGTCGTGGTCCTCCGGAGGTTAAGACGCCAGCTGGTTCCCCCGAGGTTAAGTACCAATGTGACTATTTCCGAGTTATATGTACTTTGTATCATTATTTAGACACCACTGACAAACGGTGAAGGAAAACATCTTGAGGGAACCTGGACTTATAATTTCTAATTATAAATTTGAAATCGCCAATCCCCTTTGAGCAATTGTTGCGATTAATGTTCGACCTTCTCCGTGTGAGAAGTGTGAGAATTCACTCAGCAGTGGGCACTTATAGGCTGAAGATGATGACTTTAATCATGCTTTATTTGGTCTCATGGACTATCGACAAGGACACTATTTTAATGATCTTTCGAAAATAGCTGGTTATAGAAAATCAAGAATCACCCAGGACTTATCGTGTGTATAAGACCGAGGGACAAATTCAACTAACTATCTTCTTTTTTTTTGTTTGTCTTGTCTTCAGTGCAAAAGTGTACTATAACAAGAAGAAATAGGAACCCATGTCCTTTCTACACATCCTAACTTAGTATTATAAATACACTTACGCTCCAAGTAGTCGTCAATGATCTGTGCCCACTTCAGCACTGAGCCCTTGTCGTTGGCCTTGTAGTAGATCAGGGTGCTCTCCACGTTGGCACTGTCAGGCATAGGCCGGAAACCCAAACCTGGAAGTAATAAACAAACGTTGAAGTAAGGAACTATCCAAATCCAAAATCCATTTTTAAAGCCCAAGAATATGTTTTTCTTTTCGTCGTGTTTTGCAAATAACATTATTCTCTTGTCATTCTTATGACCTTTTCTTATAAGTTGGGAGTCCACATGGAGTTTTATTTCGTTAACGTTGCATATTTTTAAATTATAAAGAATGTATACCATCGAAACCTAAATATTTTGGTCTACTGATTATGAATACTGCAATAATTTCAATGAGGAAACACTGCTATTTCTCTAAATCCCTAAAAAAATAGGTTGGTAAAGTTTGTTTAAAAAACTTCTTGAATGAATAAAAAAAACTCGACTAGTTTCGAGTTACAACGGGACTCTTATTCATGAGCAATTAAATAATATTCACCGAAGTTTCTGTACAAAACTAAGTAAAGTTGCAGAAATACCCGTTCTTAAGTTCTAAGTAAAACAATAGGTATTGGTAGCAGTAATGTTTAGCTTACCTGGGTTGGATCCGATGAGTGAGCCATCAAGCTGCCATTTGGGCATCTTGGAGTCCAGCGTCTGGTAGAAGATCGCCAGCATGGCGGCGAAGAAACCCACGAGGATTGCATAGAAGATCAGGTAGAACAGCAAGATTTTAGCTGGAAATCAGAAAAATCAACTGGTTAGACAACATTCGAGATGCAAAGGAACAGAATATACGCTTTAGAATATTGACGCGAATCTCGAATATTTTAAGTGTGGGAGAGCCATGCTTCGGCACAAATGGGTCGGCTCGACCGGAGTGATACCACGGCCTCACAGAAAACCGGCGTGAAATAACCACAGCGTTGTGTTTCGCCGTGTGAGTGAGGTTACCGGAGGCCCAATCCTTCCCCTCCCCCAATCCCTCCTATATCCCTAAATCTCCAAATCCCTAATCCCTAAAAGGTCGGCAACGCACTCGTAACTCCTCCGTTGCGAGTGTCTGCTTACCATCAGGTAATCCGTCTGCTCGTTTGCAGACCTATTAAATAAAAAATTTGGCTTTTCATTTTTGCTGCTGGGTATACCGTTGCCATTTCAAAAGTAGGTACCTAACTGACCCTCGTGTTTGAGTAAAAAAAAATTAAATTCTTTAAAGATAACACATGTTCATAATAAATAAGTTGACAAATAAAATAAAATTAGATAATTAAAAACGGAATACACGTATATCTGTAACTATGTCAGTCGCTCTTATAGATAAACTCGTTCCAAATTGATGAAAGTTCAAATGTAAATGGTTATATTATGAACTAAGGTTAAAAAACTGGTATCTTTTAACCTAAGTCTAAAAGTAGGTCATTTTCAAAAGACCTAGTCAGAATTGATTGCCATGGTAGACTACCGTCTGACCTCCTTACAATTTAACAAAACAAATAAAATAAAATATGTATTAAGCAAGTCGTAAAGACCAGCTGAAAGAAATAAAACTGTAAGGGTTGGCCCCATTTCTCACGCGATTGCCATCTGCTTGTAAAAGGCTGGAAGTAGGGCTTTTTGGTGATTCTTATAAGAAGGTCATGGCTTTATAAACTAACTTCAGTATTTAGAGTGATTTTTCTAAGTCCTTTTTCGGATATAATTCGGCAGTTTCCTAGATCAAAAATAAATTAATTCGAAGTTTCAATACAATGAAATATCGAAAAAAAACTATACTTTTATTCATCGATCAATTAATATACTAAATTTGAGACATATTTAAGCTAAGTTTTAAGAAATAAGTACGCTATTTGACTCAAAAATGCTAAGACGTCATTACTCAGTTTTTCATACAAATTTCATAGAAAAGTATCGTTTTAGATATTTGGATAAAAGTATTGAATTTGACTAGTTGGAAGCTACCGTATTCTAATAGTAAATAGACTTATTAAAAGTATAGTTTTCCATATTGTTTTTACTTCAGGGTAGGTAGTTTTTGTGAAAGAAGAGAATATTTCAAAAGTCATCAGTTGATCGTGATTATACGTGATAGTCCATAAGAGGGTTGCCATAATGTCCGCGTAATCTCCACGCTTGGTTTGCGAAATAATAATTACAGTTTAAAATTCTTAGAGAGGCACAAGACATTAGACATTTCCTTTCGAAGCTCTGCCAATGTTCAAATCCACATGTCCCTTACAAAATGGATGACGAGTATACTTTTGATGCCCGTCTGGTATCTAGGTTAATTTAGGACAAATTTCGTACGAAATTAAAGAAAGATGTAATAATATTAACCAAATCCCTAATCCCCAAAAGGTCGGCAACGCACTCGTAACTCTTCTGTTCCGTAATCCGTCTGCTGGTTTGCCGACCTAATGACATAAAAAATAATGAACTGTGACGTAGCTCCTTTGTTTTATTAAAGTATAGTTTTATATATCAGCATTATTTATATACGAGAAGTCTTGGGAAGTGTGAGATAGCAATATTTACCGTTTTTTTTCTATACACCATTTTTTTTTCATGGAATCGGTAGTGCAAACGAGCTGACGGATTACCTGATGGTAAGTAATCAGCGTCGCCCATGGGCACCGGCAACGGAGGAGTTACGAGTGCGTTGCCGACCTTTTAAGGATTAGGAGGGATCGGGGGAGGGGAAGGATTGGGTCTCCGGTAACCTCACTCACACCGCGAAACAACGCTGTGCTTGTTTCACGTCGGTTATTATTTATTCACAGTTTCTATACACATAATAAATATGTATGCTCCATTTTCATAATTAAATTACGATACTGCCAAAATTACGTACGTTAGTTCAAACTTTCAAGACGTAATTACATGAAGTCTTTGGGTCTATAAATAACTTTTATTTACATAAAACGCGGTGTTCCTAATTCGTATAATGCTTGTACTATGTAATAGGTAGGTAGTCTGCGTGGCTGATGAGGCCGATAATTGGCTGTAAGTGGCGACAATAGGAGTTTCCTATCTAACTACCGGCCGATCACTGACCGCATTTTCGAATTCCTATACTACAGTATCAAGTTTTGCAATGTTTTTAATGAATTCTTTTCTTATAATAAAGTTCTAGAAAAGGCTAAGAAATAAGCTAAAAACTCCGAGTTTTGGTAGAGTTTTTATAATTGTTCCAGTTGCATCAATTTTTCACTAAAGGTACACTCCTAATTCACTCTCACAAAATCTCACTGAAGGCTCTGAAATAAAAAACGATAAAAAAACGTTTATTCTTACTCAACCATATACAGGTACTTTTTAAACGTCAAAACAAAATAGTATAGTCAATCATTCTGTTCGACAATGAAGCTAGATGTTCGTTCCAAAATGTAGAATCAGACCATAATTAATTATGTTAATTAATAAGTTTTTAGATATTTAAGTAAAAAGGTAACAAAAGGACGTAAGTTTTTGTAGTGTCTTCGTATCTATGCTCCAGGTCTGACTCAATGAGAAAAAATATTTCTTAATTTTTAACTACTCCTTAGGCTTTAAATATCCATTTCGGCTAGGGAGAAAACGATGATAAGGTACAGCGGTCTCGCCCGAGAGCAGGAAAAGGAACGAGCGAGTTTTTAGTCAGTAACAGTCTGACACTCCCTCTGGCCTTAACCAGGATGAGAGAAGGTATTTAATAAAACGATTACTTTATTTTTGCAAAGTAGGCAATAAAACGCTCTTTTAGACATCAAATTTGATGATATTCCCCTCACAAAAAAGGCCCGAAATAACACATTTTCAAATGTAATTCATCAAAACTATACTCTATCCTCAGTTGACAACTGCAGCCTGATTTAATAACTTTGAGTCGTCAATCAGCACTAATTAACAATAATGTAACCGCACTGTGATCACTTCACATCGCAACGCCAAGCGACGCCATTTATCGAGCGTTCGCAAACTACTCGAAATTAGGGCACTTCGTTAGTTCGGCTCAAGGTAAGGTGCTCAAGGACGAGTTATAATCCTTATAAATTAAGGATGTCACCTTTTGAAAGCCGTAACCGTTTGAATACTTAATTTTTGAATTGTCAACTTGATGTCTGAGCATGAAGCTAACAGCGTTTTGCTTCATGGGTCTGAGTTTGTGAACAGGACGTATTTTTTTCTGCCCAATCCTTTCTATTATTACAGAAGAATTTGTGGTCAGTAAAAGTAGTGTCTTACGTATCCACTCTTAGACCATTCTTAGCGCTATACGAGTAATTTATACTGATATTATAAAGCTGAAGTGTTTTTTTTTTGAATGGTCAGACATTTGGCCGCTATCACGTCTGATGGTAAAAGATAATGCGACCTACGATGGAGCATATCCACACATAAGCAACTTCTTTACTCGGGCCTAGAACCTTCGAGGAACACAGACTCCGGCAAATAATTCGAAGTGCTTGTTTGAACGAACTAACCTCCAGAACTACTGTTTTGAATTGAACTTTCTTTGTGTTCGATAATCCATTTTTCGAGGAAGGCTATAAAACATCACGCTATGACCGATAGAAGCCGAGCCGAGAGAGAGTAGCCCCATATGATAAATCTAGTCATTATGACATACTGAAAATAAATGTTAAAGCTTTTTACAATGAAGGTAACAGTTCGTAGCCTTTAAATCTAAAGGCTTAAAGTCTAGTTTCCAGAACAGTTTTCCAACTAAACCCCCGACTGATACAAACTACACCAGCGCAAACTGCATCAAACTCCAACTAATTTTGTAAAGTTCTACGGAGCGGAAAATCCAAACTACTTTCATTAAGCCGAGTGGAGTGCTGTGAAAACTTTCCATGTCGTTGAATAATTAACTTTATTGCCCTGGTTTAAAGTTTAATGTCTGATAAATAAAAGCTCTTTTTTCCCTTGATTAGATATTACGTAAAATCACTACATAATGTAAGATAAAGTTGCTTTGTCTGCCCTTATACTTTAACCTTTAAAACTGCGTACCTAACGGATTTTGATGCGGTTTTTAAAAGATAGAGTGATTGAAGAGGACAAATTAAGTAATATGAGCATTGCAACCGTGCGAAGCCAGGGCTCTAGTAAATTAAAAAACATATCTTATATATAAAAATGGATCGCAAAATGTGTTGGTAAGCGCATAACTCAACAACGCCTGGACCAATTTTGCTAATTCTTTTTTTGTTGTGTTTATTATTGTCAGGAGAAGGTTCTTATGAAAGAAAATTTTAGAAAAGTAGAGGGGAGAGTTGGGTAATACGGAACCCTTTCATCGTAAGCGAGATGATGAGACTCGTGCGAAGCAGGGGCGAGCGGCTAGTTTATTAAAAAACTGCAAAACAAACATTCAAAACCATATCTTTTGACTTCCACGCTAGAGCATAAAATATGTGAAATAATAGGACAAATGAGAATTCTATTTTGGTTAACTTTAATGTTACTTACTTAGAAAACAATGAAATGCGAGTAGAAAACAGCCTTAGGTACACAGCGCATCAAAAAAAGAGCCAGCCACAAAACCGCACCAACCACAAGAAGCTAGAATCGATACATCAGTCATTACTGAACCATTACTATTTATTGATCGACCTGCTACTGGTCAGTCGATGGCTTTTCCTGGAACCGATACATTAGTCAATATTATATGCAGCTGCACCAATGCAGATACGATATGTACCCATAGACACAGGTCACGGAGCATGCGCGGATTACTTGCGACCTTTCACAAGAAGACTGTATGACGCCTGTTTTGTATAAAAAGGAAGAATAACGCTGGTCCAATCCGCCTTGAGCAAGCGTGGTGGTTAATGTTCAAACCTTCTCCGTGTGAGAAGAGGCCTTTAATCGGTAGTTGTTAGTAATTTAATTGATTGCACAGTTGACGCGATGGGCTGCCAGGCCGAATTTCTTCGCACAAACCACTCTTTTTTTTTGGATTAAAAGCAGATTGGACTAAATCCGAATATCATTGCTCTTCGGATCTTCATAATCCTTTTGTGATTCCATAATGTTATGCCTAAAATTTTTTTGATATAAGGTGTAATTTAGTTAGTCGTCTTCCTTTAAAATAGTCAGTTATTGATGTTTATAGATGTTTTATTTAGATTTTACGATTGATGATGGACTAAAACTAAGTATACTTACTTAAATCTTTATAACATCGCAACGCGTTTTGATGCTGTTTTTTAAATTGAGCGATTGAAGAGGATGTCTTATATTTATAATCATCATCCTCAACAGCCTATAAGTGCCCACTGCTGAGTTGCTCCGTGCTGCGTGTGAGAAGAGGCCAAACCTCTTCTCACACTTCGAGAAGGTTTGAGCATTAATCACCACGCTTGCTCCTTGCACCGTATGTCAGAGGTGTCTAAATAATCATAGAAAGTACATATGACTCGGCAAAAGTCACATTGGTACTTGCCAGGTTTCGAACCCGCACCTTCATGCATGAGAAGCGGGCGCCTTAACCTCCGGGCTACCACAACTACGTGTATAATAATACTATTCATTCATTAAATAGTGGAATAAAATCAGCGCTATGCTAATATGTACTAAGCCCTGCAAAAAATTAAAACCCAACTTCATTTACATTAAAGAAATGATTTCTTTTGTTATTTCATCTCCCCTCGCGTTTAGCCCTAAAGGTTCAAGTTCCCTGTGGCCTTGAACGGATTTCATACAATAGTGTTATGACCATGCTATGCAGTATATTGAACGTTTTAAATCATTAAATGTATACCAATAATAACTATACTCAACTAGAATCCAATAACGTTTTTAATTTAAAAGCAAGTATTTAGTAATTTTATCGAAAGGAAGATATAATATCAAGTATTTGGCTTCAGACACGCCGCCGGCGTCACACAAAGCACCAAGGTACATCAATCCAAATCCAAACCAATAATATAAATGCGAAAGTAACTTTGTCTTTTTTTCACGCCTAAACTACTGAACCTATTTGTGTAAAATTTGGTACAGGCATAGTTTGTAAATCAAGAATGACATAGGATAGTTTTTTAACCAAAAATCTGCAGGAAGTCACTATTCCAAACGAACAAAGTGGCGGACAAAAGCTAGTAAGACAAATAAAAAAGAACAACATTTTCATTTTTTTTCGATATTGTACTTAAAAATGATAATTTTCGTCGGATATTTTTTCTGCCGTTGTAGACAGATTAAAAGGCTCAGAAAGAAAAAAAAATAAGGACGTTTGGTACGTCTATTAGGTATCTATCCACCATGCGGTGCGTTGATTAAATACTATAAAGTAGTCGCTTAGTTAATTAACCTAATAAAAACAAGTAGGCATTAGCAAACAGCTACGGCGAATTCTGTACAGCCTCAAAAGTTTCAAAAATATTAGTTTTGTTCCTTGTCGCATACAGAGCAGTTTGTATGGACAAGAGTCCAGTCGTTTTAGAGTTTCAGCGAGACAAACGAACTGCAATTCATGTTTGTATGTAAGAAGTATTTTTTATGTAATAGCCACGAGTGGACCTGGATGGTAAGCAATCAGTGCCGCACTAACATCAGACGAGTTAGGGGCGATGGTGATGAGCATTACAGATCTGGGGATTGGGTATCGCCCCCACAGGATGTGAGATTGTGAAGGAAGATTCTATTGCAAAATTCTGCCTTAGTTATTGAGATAAAACCATTATAGTTATAAACGAATAATTACTTAATATATTTTATTTACAACTACATTTTTTAACCGGTGGTTGCTGAATTTTCATGTCATTACAACTATGCCAGAAATATATTTTACTAGCTACTCTCACGCGGTTTCACTCGCTGCTCGGCTCCATTTGATGGTAGCGTGATGTTTTATATAGCCTATGGCACTCAGGAACATTGTAGCTATCTATCGGTGAAAGAATTTTGGCAATCGGACCTGCGGTTCCAAAGATTACCCCCTACATACAAACTTACAAATTTTTCCTCTTTATAATATTAGTATAGATACATTGACATTTAAGAAGTATGGATGTTTAACATGTGCATCTCTGTTATGTAGGTTGGTAATAGTATGTATCAATACCCACTATTATTTTAAAAAAATCTATCCTAGTTCCACTTTCTTTTGTTATCTACTAAAAACAAGAAATATTAGAATATCAACGTTTGATATCTAAAATGTAGCGCGGCTCGGCCTGGACCAGAAGAAGGATGGGGTGGTTTTTAGTCAGTAAGAGTCTGACACTCCTCGCTCTAGACAGGGCGGGAGAAGACCTTGATGATTTTCATTAACATTGTCAAATTATAATTATAATGTAACACTTAAGATTATTTCTTAAAATAGACAAAGATTACTAAAATGGAAGTACGTATTAGAGGCACCTAAGTACCGTAGCAGATGGCGCTGTCTACGATTTTGGACTACCCTCCTGGTGTAAAAATACGCGCAATTTTATGATCATCTATATTTTTAATTCTTCGTTATTATTAGTTATTTATAAATAGGTATTATGAAAAAAACTGTGAAAAGTATTAAGTTTTGTTACTTAATTAATTTAACTGATAAATCAATCAATTAAGCTAAACGTTATATTTACAGCAAGTACACTAATATTTTCTTTTAAAATAGATGCTTTTGTTATAATAAGGAACAATTTGAAAAATAAGGTATTTCCCTGAGATGTCGTTCGTCCTTGGATCGATCGCGACAAGGACGATGCGCGCGCAGCCAGGGTGGCGCGCGCCGCCTGCCATGGCGCGAAAAAATTACAGAAATGCACCCTATGCACCCATTTATTTATTTAAATAGACACTCCGTCATTGCACGTCATTTTATTTAATACTTTATCAAATATTTCTAATAATTCCATGTCAAATATGCTAATTATATCTTCTTTCGGACCTTACGTAATGGCGATTTTCGAAATGGCGACAACGGCTGTTTTTTAACGAAAATAGAACATCAAATGACAGTACAGAATATTTTTTTTTAAATAATTATTTACGTAGCGCAACACAACTAAGTATTGTTCCTCGTGTTGTTTTTTAATTATCTGTACAACGGAAATTATGGTCACAACAGTGATTAAAGTTAAAAGATAATTACATACGTATGTTATTTGCGCGACATTTAAATTCATTACACGCTCGGCTCGGAACTTCAAGTGCTAACAACGACAAGGTACAGCTAAGGTGTAAGTTCACCAAGATATTTATAGAACACCTTACATAACTTTTCCATGACCCACAAAAGAAAATGTCTCACAAAAAATAATTTTCTTCCATCGGTTTTTCAGTCATCCTCTATCGATTTTCCCTCCAAAAAGCAAAGGAAACCTATCATACGGTCATAGGGAAAAAATTCAAAACTCACCCCAACTCGATCCCGTGCGGCCAAGGAACTGTCCAGTCTCGCTGTTCCACAGGAAAATCCTGAACGACTCCCATTTGCCTAGATCCGGCGGCGGGGCGTAATATTGTTCTGCAACCTTTGTCTTGTCTGCCATGTTCGAATGCCGAGCCGGACTGCGGACGGGAATCGATTGCCGGCGCCTTCGCCCTGTCTTGTCCCCTCCCCGCGCTGTCGCACCCCTCGTGCGCCTAGCAACCCCTGCAACCCCGTACCGCGCTTACGTAACGATTACATAACGCGGCGCGCGCACGTTTCAGACCTACATAGCTCACCAGCTTGCGTAGAGCCCTCCGACCGCGACGCTGTTCCTTTTCTCCCCACCCATTGTATAAATACAGAGGGGAGCTAGGGGTCTTTGTGAATAAGTCAGGAAATAGGGTTGCAAAATGAAGCTTTGCCGTCGGATGAACTGCCCCCTCATGAGTTTAGAGGTCGTTTTAAAGCGCGCTTTTTGTGATAAAATTGTAGCTCTGGGCTGGTCATTGTGCCAGGTTATTGGTCTGAACAAAAATTGATTTCATGTCTGCGCAATCTAGACTGAAATATGTCTAAAGCATCGATAAAACGAAAATGGAATAAATTTTTGTTTCAAGTATGACTATATATGTTACCTACTTACTTTAAAACTGGTTATTAAAAACACTTCTTCATTTTATTCTGAATCAAAGATTAATAAAAAATTAAAATCAACTAACGTTCATATATAAAGAAAATATGTAGAAAGAAAAACGTTTGATTTGGCGCCGCCTTGAATCAGCTGATTATATGAATACCTATACCTATTTATATCACATCATAAATAGTTCTGTTTTTCAACACACCACAGGACTCTACTAAGTTTAATTAAATTGAAATAAAGGATTCAACGCTGATCACGCCTATTAGTTGTAGGTATTTATCGCTAAGGATTTCAGTTTTATATTTATCACACACTTAAGTTCCAATTCCAAATTAGCTGTAAATTATCACTATCTTTCAGTCTTTCTCACTCTTGACACATTCTTAAAACAGTATACAAATTACAACATTATTAAAAACACAAAATCATTTTAAGCACAAAAATGTCGTCGCAAAATGGCGACAACAATAAAACAATCTAGTTTTAAAGATGCACCCACGACACAAGTAACAGAAGCGAAATAATCGTGTACGCGTAATTTGGCTACAATTAAAATCAAGATCAATCGGCTAGCGAATTCTTTGGAAGTAATTTGATCGTCGCCTCGACGAAGCTGCTAATCAATTACTAACAATTTGTCTGTTTATTTCCATAATAACGCTGCTGTTCTACCTACCTAGCTTTTAGTATAAGGTTTTGTACGCCTGTTTAAATTTTAATTCACCAACCCCCAAACGCACGCCGGCGTTCGCGTAACTATTGTTCTTCTATTACGACTCAAAGTTCAAGGAATTTAATGTAACATCTTACTAACAAAACTCCAACATTTACCTTCATTACCGGCAACATTATCTAAGCCAAAAAGGTCTAGTTCTGAACATGGGTAGGCCTCCCCAAATGAAGTGAGAGTCAAAAACATTTATTCCAAATGAACCATATAAAGGTACTGTTACTATAGCAGCCAAGTACAGGTACGTACGTCAAAATAGAATAATAATAGTTCGTCAATTTGTTCATCAGTAAAGCTAAAATAAAACGATGACGTGAATTCATCAACATTCAATTTTAAATCCTTTATCGTCGCTTTACAGTATTGAATTAACGTTTAATATATCCTATAAGATGCCCCACAGATATTTGCCTTTCCCGGGAATCGAACCCGAGACCATAGCTTGACATTTGCGCCACTACTCGACCATTGACACAGTCCAATTGATGCTGTTACATGTCAGTTATGTTTTTAAGCTGTAATGTTTAATAAATCACAAGAAATAAGCAATGAAACGATGACTTCAATAAATAGTAATTATGTATTTCATTAATGTATTCATCAAACTAAAAGCTAATTACATGATTCAGTCAACTCCCAACAATGTAGATAAGAGAGTAGGTAGTGTATAATGAGTTATAACATGTTTTTCTTAACATAAGCAAGTACCTCCAAAGAAATTACAATAATACATTTTATTTAAGTGATGATTAACACTATAAGTTGCGCACATAATCACACAAGAAAAATACAATATGAAACCGTCTGCGCGCCTGATACAAAAGTAAATGCAACAATTACCTCTACGACAATTTGCTATATATTATTTCTTTTAAATAGTTTTCTCATCATTCTCTTCACTCCTCTGTGCCGCATTATCATTCAGTACTCCATTTTGAGGTTTAGTCCAGGCTTGACACACGCAAGTAGGGCCAGGAGTTCCAGATGGATGACCACCACTGGTCATTTGGTAACTACCATTATTGGAACCGGCAAACCCTGGGGCACCTTGGTTACCAGGTTGTCCTTGGAATTGTGATGATTGGAAATTTTGGCCTACAAAGGTGGACTGTGGTACCTGACCCGGTTGGTTTCCGACATAGTTATTTGTGGCTTGAGTTTGGCCAACAAAACTTGTCTGTTGGTTGCCGAAATTAGTTGATTGATGGCTTCCGTATGACCCAGTTGGCTGTACAAAACCACCCGAGGGTTGGTTCGTAGGTTGGTAATTAACTTGCTGGTTAGCTGGTTGGTTCACAGGTTGAGGTTGAGCACCTTGGTAGTTTCCACTGGCAAACTGATTCTGGTTGACAAACTGTCCAGACTGTTGATTTTGGTATTGATTTTGTGCTTGTACCTGTCCTTGATTCTGGAATTGGTTGGCTTGCTGACCATCGAATGTATTGGTCTGTTGGTACTGTCCTTGGGCTTGGGTTCCTCCGAATTGCTGACCAGTTGGGTAGACCTGGTTGTTAAGGTACCCTCCTTGAGGATAGCTCCCCTGTTGGGGGTAGCCGTAGTTTACATATTGTCCTTGGTACTGCGCTTGACCTTGAGTCTGATAGCCTGTGTTCCAAGGTGCATACTGCTGAGGGTTTCCTTGTTGGAAGTTCTGCTGCTGCGTCTGGGTCTGGACGGTGGTAGTCTGCTGAGTAGGCTTGTTCTTATGATTCTGGACAATGTCAATGACCCCTCCAATAATTTTCTCTGGTATGTGCATCATTTTTCTCCCTTCTAATGCATTTGCTGTGACTAGTACGGTGATGAACAACTGAAAAGATGAATTAAAATGATAAGAAAAAATAGTGTTTTTTTTTTTGGGTGATAGGAAAATCATCGAAATGACATATTATGCTTTAGTATTTACATACGTCAATTGCAAAAGTTTAGGCGTGAGATTGACGCATTGACGCTTTGAATGATAGATTGAAACAGTGCGCTCATGTTGCGGTACATAATTTATGTCAGTATATTGTATCATCTTTGATTGTTAATATACTATTCAAAACTAGTAGATCGTATCGTTGATCGTAGCGTGATGTTTTATAGCCTATAGCACTCAGGAACATTGTAGCAATCCGTCAAGCGGTTCCAAAGATTACCCCCTACATACAAACTCACAAACATACAAACTTACAAATTTTAGCTCTTTATAATATTATTAATTATTTCAAAGAAAGATCACCAAAAAATTCTGTTTTGTACTGAAAAACGTTATAAAGAAATGTTTAAGAAGCCCTGATTGTTTTTGCATAAAAATATTATTTTTGTCGCAATAAAATGACACAATAAACGATTTCTCATATGACATTAAACTAAATAATTTAAAGTATTTAAGTTAGTAAAAGAGGAGACTCATCAGTATGAATGGGCCGACGCGATCGGAGTGATACCACGGCCTCACAGGCGTGTTACAAACACAGCGTTGTGCTTCACCGTGTGAGTGAGGTTATTATTTTTTAACTTTTATTATTTATTATTATTACTAGAAGCCCAATGTTCCCTTCTAGGTCTAAAGTAGATTTCATTTAAGTCACACTTTTAACACAAATTAATTATTATTTACTATTTAGACATAGTTCATCACTCACAAGTATAGAGACCCCCGCGTGTCCTTCCATGTTGTGGTGTGGCTTCGAGCTGTGGACTGCAATGGCTGGCTCTCTTCAGGAACATACTTTTATATTGCGCTGCCTTCCGTATCGTTTGTAGGGCTGATACTATGCATTTCTTTTCTTAAGTTAAGTTAGTTTTATTAAATACATATTTATATTCAATGTTAATATTAGATCAATAAAAATTTTAGTAAAGGTAGGTAAGAAATACTTACGTTATAAATATCAAATAGATAAATGAAATATCGTTATAAACATGAATATTATTACTCACATAAATAACATTATATGTATGTATTAATCAAAAAATCATTCCTATGTTTTTTCGTGCACAGTTCGTAGAGTTTTCGTAGAGCAGTCGTAGCCTTCCGTAGACATGTAGACTAGGCGTAGGCCCTTCGTAGCGGCAGCAATTACTGATTTTCGTTTTGACTAAAAATTATGACTTTATCATTTTTACAGCCACAAAACGACATGTAAAAGTAGTTCAAATAATGTTAATAGATGTCAATTTTGAGGACATAAATCATAGTAGCTACAAAAAAAAAACAGGTTCACAAATAAAAGTTTATAAAAAGAAATACAACAAATATTTAATTGTGTAACGTTTTAATAATCCTGTTATACTTGAACTAATGCTCGATATAAGCTCGGATCATGTTTAATCGCATTATCTAATGTAGTTGTTTACTAACTAGTTATGCCCCGTCAACAATGACGTAGACTTTTGGTTTTTTTTTTGGAAAATTCTCAAATGTACCACTGGAACAGTGTACCTATCTAACATAGGAGGATTTTAATATTATTCAAGTTTAAAGATAATTCATTGAGATTCATTATTTTTTCATTTCAATGGCAACCCTGTAACATGTGGGAGAAGACACGGACGCGAGTTATCTCACCCTCCGCGTAAGTACCGCTACCTGGATTCGAACGTAGGGCTGTGCGAATATCTAATTATCGACAAGCGAATCAAAGTTAGTACTGTATGTAATAATTTGTATGTACATACATACATATAATTCTTTCTTAAACAAACAAGTTCAATGATAGCTGTTTTTTAAATTTATTGACGTATCTAATATTTTAGAATTAGTTTATTTAAATGTTCGCCTGGTCGATTGGTTATCGCGCAACGTACTGAACATTCGATTCTCGCCTTGAAAAATATTTAAGTGATTCGCCTATTGTTGTTTGTTTCAGGTTTTTTTGAATCGTGACGTATATGTATATAGGACCTAGTTTACGATGCTTTGTTTAGCTTTATTTACCTGGAAATGAAAACCACCCAGTTCAATATTTTGTTCCAAAAAAAATTCATCGAAAACGTTGGAACCCTTTCCGAGGTCTTGCGTATTGAAATATGTATTTATTGGAATAGAAATATATATTTTTTTTTTGTGAGGGGAAAATCATCAAATGACTTCTCCCGCCCAGGGCCGGGCAGGAGGGAGTGTCAGACTCTTACTGACTAAAAACCCCCCTGTTCCTTCTCCTGCTCTGTGCCGAGGACGCGGTGCCTCATTGCGCTTACCCCGCAACCCCGGCTGAACATCAGCTCTTTGAGGCGCGCGCGGAAGAATAGAAATATAATTAACAGAATAACTTCCACAGTTAAAAATACTATATGTAGTAGTGTAGGTACTATATCCTATTGTAGAGTAGATGCACATGAGTAGGTGTAAAAAATAATTAAGTAAACTGCAGTGTTAAAATAATCACTTTACTTATTAATCAAACAACATCGACAATCGACACGCACATCACTACTCACTAACCGCGCTGTCCGATCGTATGATTGACGCTGCGCTTGCGCACCCGAATAAAGGGCATAAACATTCCCTTTTGTTTTTTTTTCACGTCCAATCGACACGGGCGTCGAATAATTGCACATGTCTGATGTATATCACGAGGAGTTTATTCTTCGAAACCAAATGATGAAGTGCTTTCGACCACTCAATGGTTCTTTACGGAGTATTAAGGAAAATTACTTTTGAATGAGCTTGTTTGGTGGTCTCATGATTTATTGTTTGTTGTATTTTTTTTAATTACGGTACATTGGTTTGTGTTTTGATTCGGTTAAAGAGTTCATCGTTATTTTATTTTTTGGGAATAGAGAGTAAAATTTTTTGATTGGTAAATGAATGATCCTACGACCATGCGAGGTGATTAGGCTGACGGGTTACTGCTCGACAGTTGTAAGTCAGGATTTTCTATGCGTGTTTATCTCGCGCAAAATTCACTTGCGTTATGTAGGGTACGTCAACTGTAGAATATAATCGTTGATATATGCGTGCGTCGCCACAAATATGTATATTACAGCACTTTTTTAATCCAGAACATCTAGACGGGACAGTGATATTTTCAAAGCTTTTACCCACTTTTCACAAGTTTTGTTAATTGTTAAGTCATAAACATTTAAGACTTTGAACGCCTGTAGTGATTTACATACTTCACATCATCTGCATATAAGTGCCTACTGCTCTACTGCTGAGCAAAGGCTTCTTCTTCCACCGAGAAGGTTTGGGAATTTATCACCACGCTACGGATTGGCGATTTGAGATATATAATTAGAAATCATAAGTTCAGGTTGTTTTCCTTTATCGTATGTCAGTGGTGGCCACGTTTACTTATACACACATATAGTATGTACATTATTGATACAAAATATTATACAGCGGTAGATGACTTTGGAACTGAGTCCATCTTTGTAAAGATTCTTTCCTTAATAAACACAGCTGGCTTTCGTCATACGAAAAGCACAATCCCAGACTACACTTTATACTGTTCTCTTTACCTAGTAATCGTGCCCAACAAATTTCTTGTCAGCCAGTCGCGTTCAAAATCAATCGATCAAGATGGCAAAAAAATTTAAACGTTTGAAGGTGACTTTTAGTTCATTTTTGTTTTTTTTTTATTGTCAATTTCATTTTTTTTTTATTTATTGTAGAACCAGTTCCAGCTACCTAAAAACTACTTAGTAATCATCAATTAAGCCACTTATGGATTATTCACTGTTGATTAGCCAAATAAGGCAGTAAAGTTATGAAGGAATTAAATTTTATTGTTTATTCTACTCCAATTTCCAATATCAATATTCTTTCCACACGTATAATAATACCCAAGATAATAATAAACCTTTATTGCACTAATTGTGGTTAATGTATGCCTGTTTGTTTCCTTTCACGGGATCAAAAGATCCAGGACCTTTGGAAGCCGTACGAGGGGCCGAAGTCAATTCGCAGAGGCCCGTTGAACAGATTTAATCTAAATGTGATGGGACATCAGCCAACAATTAACCTTGTATGCACTATAAAAGTACACCCAAGGACAATGTGAGTGACTATGGACTGGTAGATGATAACTATGGTAACACTATGGCAATATTGATACATAGGGATAAACAGGTAGGGGGTGATTGGCAAACTCACTTAATGAGCTGCTTGGGGAAGGAGAGGCATCCCACGGCTATCAGAGCAATCCCAGAAGTACGGCCAAGACCCCTACCGCCATCCTACTAAGATACATCCTTCCCCTGAGTCTCCTTCAACTCCTACTCTTGCGAATCTCCACTCAAGCCAGCTAATACAATAATAACTAAACCATCCCGTTCCTACTCATGCATGAGCCGGGGTGCGGTTAATTTTTTTTTGATGTGGTAGAACTGTAAAAAAGACGGATTAACTGATAATAAGCAATCAGCGCCACCCATCCACACCCGCAACAATGGAGGATATGGGGGGTTACGAGTACCGACGGAGTTGTCGACCTTTTAAATGATTAGGGTTTTGGAGATTTATGGATTGGGCCTCCGGTATCGCTCACACGGTGAATCACAACGCTGTGGTTGTTTCACGCCGGTTTTCTGTAAGGTCGTGGTGTGACTCCGGTCGAGCCGACGCATTCGTGTCGAAGCATGGCTCTCCCACACTAATATCGCTTTCGCACCCGCAACCTCGGGTGCACGAGATAGGTTGGAGCCCGCGGCTTCTGTAGTCTTATTTGTAATAACTTGTGTATGCAAATAAATATATAAAAGTCTGCTGATGACGTTGGTAGATGACCGCGAACGCCTTCCACGCTTGCCAACGGACGCGGCCTATTGCGAGTAAGAAAACATCCTCTACCCGACCTTGTTGTGTCATAAAATGGTCCATTACAGGGCTCGTGATGAAGTAACTACTCTACTACTCTATGACGTCTTGTCCCTTCCGTACCTTTGAATATTGTTCATTATAACAGTGTTAAAATGTTGACTAAATTACAAAAATAAATATTTTACAGAATTACTTATATTACGGTTCGATTCCCGCTCGGAACAACTCTTTGCGTGATCCACAGATTGTTGTTTCGGGTCTGGGTGTATGTGGAATTGCATGTAAACGCACCCACGACATAGGAGAAAATCTATTCATCATTTATTAATTGATTTTTATAATATGTACAATATTAAGTAACAATTATTCATGTACCTGTAGCTTGAAGTTAAAAAATTTAATACAAAAATAAAAATTTAAATAAAAATTTAATCAGTTTTAACCTCCCCTTCCCCCTCTACTGTCTACATAATTACTTTCATTAAAATATCTGATGTACCATGTTTCTTATTTGAATATGTATGTACAAAACGAGACACCAATTACATGAATATGTCGAAAACAAGTAGAATTACTTTATCTAGTTATGCTAACTGATAGAAGCTAAATGGGTGAGTCACATATTTGGCCTATCTTGTCAACAACTTAAAGACTAAAAGAAACTAGGTTGCTGTTAGAAATAGTAACTGTAGACGAGCCATGCTTCAGTGCGACTGGGTCGGCTCGACCTGAATGATACAACGGCTTTACAGAAAACCGGCGTGAAGCAACACTTACTAGTGATCAAATCCTTTCTCCCCATAGTCTATTCTCAAATCCCTTATCCTTAAATCCCTACAATCCCTAATAATCCACAAGAAGCCGGCAACGCACTTGTAGTAACTTCTTTGTTATACTTTTTGCCTCCTTTTAGAGTCCATAGGTTTCGCCGATTACTTACCATTAGGTTATGGGTCTGCTCGTTTCCTGACCTGATATGCTAGATAAAAAAGGAATTGCAATAAATTAAGCAACAGGTATGGTTGCCGGTCTTTTTGGGGATTAGGGTACCGAAAAGCAGGGCACGGAGAGGGAACGGATTGAGCCTGATTGAGTAACCTCAAAAAAAATTATTTATGAAACCCTAAAAAATATATATATACATAATAGTTGATTCGCAAAAAACGTCTCCCATCCATCTCGTTAAAGGTAAAGGTTATCGCAAATCATATCAACAGTTACATAAAGTGAAGTTAATCACAACTGACACGATTATTATTACGAGTGAGGGGGCGAGCAGAGAATGAGGTTATGTTGAAGTGTATCAACTTACAATTAAACATATTTTGTGAAATTGACGAACATTTTTTTGAATGGAAGAAACTTCTCGTTAATGTTCCTTGCTTTGCAGAAAGTTTAAAATGAAATGGTAAAAAAACTTTTATCTTAAACTATAATATAATATATGGGCGATGCTTTATCACGAATCCTGAGTCGACTGAAATAATAATAAAAGTTTTTACCGGAGGTTCATTCCCTTTCCCCAATCTTTAAATCCCTAATGATCCTCCAAAAGGCTGGCTACGCACTTGTAACTCTCTGGGATTGAGGGTGACCATGACCGGCGCCGTTTGCCAGATCGCTAGATCGCACCTAGGTGGTACGTCCACTGGTTTGTGGTCCATCTCAAAATTAATCCCTGGCATAATCCTTAATTTTCATTTCCATCTAAAAATAATAATAATTACTGACTCTTATATAATCTTTATTTCCTTGTGGAATTAAACTACCAATTGTTAGAAGTTTTTATAACTTATCACATTCTACTTACATCTCGTAATAACTGGGTACCTCCCACATACAACCGTCCATTATCCTGCGTGGCCGGTTGCCGTGCGCGCGCGCAGTCGCTGTGCGCACACACGCGCGCGCGCCGCTCTTATCCTCCGGGACGGGTCTCAGGTGCGCGGTAAGGCCTACATAATTTTCCATATTTTTTACTAATATTTTTGGAAGAAATTATATAAATAGAAAAATAGTTATAGAAATTATACGGCGTCTTAAATTCATGTCTTCCTAAAAAAAAGGTTTCTCTAAACACTACTTAACACCCGAGGTCGCTCTCAGTACCAGGGCAAAATGTGTCCTGTATGATAATTTTGACTCTAGTGTCTAGTGTCACTCTCTGTGTCGCTTCTGTGCCAAATTTTAATCGGATCCGTTCAATAGCCTTAACTTAAAATAGTAACAAACGTGCATGCTTACAAACTTTTGCGCTTACTTATAATGTTAGTAGGTTGTGGTCTGAGGTTCAAAGATCTTCATAATTGAAGCGACCTCATATATTGAAGGACAGCAAAGGATTTTTTTGCACATTGTTTAAGACTTAAGAGTCCAATTTCCTCGTCAATAGGCTCACGTCTTATTACGATTAGGAAGTGGGCATAGGCCTACAACAACAATCTTTGAAAATCGGTGTGTTTACTAAGTAATAAGTACTTAGATTTAGTTATAGGCCTAAGCTATCGCATTGGAGAATTTTATTCTGTAAATAAACACGTTGCACGACAGGCTGTTGCCCAGCCATTGCGTCAACCGTGCTGTCACTGAACAGATCTTAAGTCTTAGGTGTTTATATGTGGAGATTTTTATAAGGTTATGCGGTAAGCGTAGGTGCTGAGAAACTGGTACTACACAACGGCTTGAGAGTGCGTTACGCTTGATAATAGTCCATTTTTTTTGTATCGACGGCGCCATTGGATACTCTTGAATCAAGAGTAGTAACGAGTGCTTTGAACACTTTGGGGATTAGGGGTTTTAGGGTTGGGGATACGTGGTGGAGTTAGAAGTGGAGGGGGAAGCATTATGCCTCACGGCGAAACACAACACTGGTTGTTTCACACAAATATCTGTGCAGCCGAGTATTATCGGGAGGAAGCCTGGACTTATAATTCCTAATTATAAGTTTGAAATCGCCAACCCATTGAGCAAGCGTGGTGATCAATGCTCAAACCTTCTCCGTGTGAGAAGAGAGTGTTTGCTCAGCAGTGGGCACTTATAGGCTGATGATGATAGCTGTAACACACTTAAAATTCTTAATGTGATCCACAATTGTTTTCTTTATCGATTCTGAGCGCGATGTGTATGATAACTCAAGTGTCCAAGTTTATAAAAAAAAACTGTGTTCTTTTTAAGTCACATTTTTGAACTCTTTCCACGTCCACAGCAACCACAACCTATCCAAAATGACGGTGACGAAGAAACGTCCATCAGACCTAACCAGCTTGGAGCGGTTCAACCTTTACTACCGGGAGAAGGAGGATCCTCTCACTGGTGCTGAGAAGACAAAGCGGTTTATATGGAATCCCAAGACCAGGGAGTTCTGTGGCAGGACTGGAACTAGTTGGTGTAAGTAGATTTATAAGGTGTATTTTACTTCATTACTTATTATTTTATAACTATCATTGAATAATAATTGCGAGATGGATCTTGCCACCGTATCATAGTGTAAATAAGGTAACCGGAGGTCTGATCCCAATGCATGTCGCCCATGGACATCCACAGCACCAGAGAACTTGCGTGTTCTGTGAACTTGCCTATTCTTGGCATTATGAGAATGCGGATTTTGGGGATTAAAGGATTGAGAAGAAACGGGATAGGGAAGAATTTGGCCTCCTGTAACCTCAGACACACAGCAAAACATAAAGCCGTGTTTTTTACGTCGGCTTTCCATAAGGTCTTTGTATCACTGCGCTCGAGTCGGCCCATTCGTGCCGAAGCATGGCCTTCCACGCTGACATAATAATTTATAGGATACCAATGACTACACTACAATCACACGTTTTAACCATAAAAACAACTGACCTTAAACAAAATTTTCATCTCTTTATGTAACTGACCTAAAAATTAATTGAATCTAGTGCGTCTGTACGCAAAAGGTCCTTTAATTCCTACTACTTAGTTACTCATGACTCAAGCTCCCAAACCTTAGTGTTATGAGTACCGGAGACTGTATAAATGATGCAGAGTATAAAGATGTGCCTACCGGAAACTGCGACGGCCATTCATTGGTACAATGAGATCATTGGAACATCCTGCGCGAGCGCCGCCTGCCGCGGGATCTAACCGGTCAGCATGCGGACTGGTCGTGGACCCGTTGTTTCGTATTGAAATAGTAAATTATTTGATTTGAGCTCTTTTTCTCAAGCAGAAGTGCTTGAAGCCTTTCTTAACTATGTCAAAGATCTTTTAGTTGGACTAACTTTTCAACTTTCGCGATTCATATTTACAACTTACTACTAATTACGCGGGTATTAACGCGGAAAACAACTATTTAAATACCTTGGTAGCGTCTCGACCTGGTTGCACAGGTCGTGGTCACAAGCAGACTGAAGATGCGATGTCACAACTCCCTGCATGCGGGCGATGAATCTTCTTGTGACCACGACCTGTTTGGAGGAGACGGAACTCCATGGTATGCAAACGGTCCCGCCCTTAGACACTCTCGACACTTTGCACGTCAGTTGCATACCCGCGTGCAACTATTGTAGTGACGAGAGTGTAGGCCTTTTATGGTTTCGAGGATCGGAGGAATTGGGATAGGGGTCTCTCGCGACATTACTCAGATGTCGAAATACATAAATACATGTGTATTATCGCCAGTAATCTAATAAGACCGCGGATTTTCCACATTTAAAGTGTTGTCGTTAAAGACGTTAGAAAGACGGTTTTTGTTTTAGAAACTTTATAGAAATTGATACCTTCTAATTGACACTTAAAGTTGTCATAAAGCAACATGTAAATAAACATTTACAAATGGCAACGCATCTTGATTTAGGCACCTAAATACTACTATTATAAAGAGGTAAAATTTGTAAGTTTGTATGTACGGGGTAATCTTTGGAACCGCTGGTCGGATTGCCAAAATTCTTTGACTGGTGCATAGCTACAATGTTCCTGATTGCTATTTATATGCTATAAAATATCACGCTATGATCAAATGGAGCTGAGGAGCGGGTGAAACCGCGCGATTTTCTTGTTTTCCATTAATCGAATGTTTCTTTACAAAATATTATTGAACGATTATGTATTTTTAATAAAGCGATCTTAGACTCCCTATAAAAACTCATATGTACTATATGTACAATATAAAAAAAACATCGAGTAAACGTAACCAATTGCCATTTCAGCCAAAATAGCACTATTCTATTTCATCTTCTACTCTGCGCTGGCGATCCTCGTCGCTATCTGCATGTGGACCTTCCTGCAACTCCTGGACACGCGACAGCCAATGTGGCAATTGGAGAAGAGCATCATTGGCACCAACCCTGGACTCGGCTTCCGGCCAATGCCGCCAGAGGTCGCCAGCAGCGTGATCTGGTACAAGGGCAACGATCCTGGAAGCTACAACTTTTGGGTCAAGGAACTGTCTCAGTTCTTAGCTGGTGAGAATTGTGTCTAATTGTAATCGTTAAAACAATTTCTTGTCTTATTATTTTTCTCACCCTTATCTCCAACTCAAGATACTTCGTGATAATTACTATTTTTTTATTCCATCAGAAATCTTTTGTGGCTATTATTATAGACTCAATTTCTCATAGGCCTCAGATCGATTTTCCCTACTCCTAAAATGCGGTCAACATTTCAGTTTACAAACGCGACGGTAAAAAATCTGGAGCGAGCCAGAACATCCACAATTGTGACTTCAAGCTTCCAGCACCAGCTGGCAAGGTCTGTGACGTGGACATCAGCGCTTGGGGACCTTGCCTCGAAGAAAATCACTTTGCTTACCAGAAATCTACTCCCTGTGTCTTTCTGAAGCTCAACAAGATCTTCGGATGGAAACCAGCCTTCTACAACAGTTCCGACAGTCTTCCAGGAGAGATGCCTGATGATCTGAAGGAGCATATCCGAAATATGACTGCGTATGATAAGAATTATGTAAGTTGATAATTTTCATTTAAGATTCTATGAGAACAGAAGTGTGTTGTAGGTTCGTATGATTATAATTTTCAACTAAAGAAACAACTATCCTTTTTACACTACAAAAAAAAACTTGAATGGCCGTGAACTGGTGAGAGGAGTTCATGATAGAGTAATCTTGAAATTGTTTTCTGATTAATTCCAACTCGTTTCGAAATACCAACCAAAACTAATTTAAACACCAACTTCCCCCTTTCCCAGCTGAATATGGTGTGGGTATCCTGCCAAGGTGAGAACCCAGCAGACAGGGAGAACATAGGTCCCATCCAGTACATGCCCTACCGTGGCTTCCCAGGGTACTACTTCCCGTACACCAACCAGGAAGGCTACCTCAGTCCACTCGTCGCTGTGCATCTTCAGAGACCCAAAAGTAAGAAAACTCTAAGTGTGAGAACAACCTTATTAGGTATATGGTCTAGTGTTTTGAGCGATGACTCAACCTAGAGATGTTTTTTGATGCAGTATTTATGTAACTGTTTTTAAAGTTATAAGTGAATCGTCATCAAGTGAAATATACCTAAATATTGTAAAACAAACAAAAAACTTACGATTCTAATCTAAATATTTGTTTGAACCTTTTTTGTGAAGCCAAAGCCATCAAATGACGAACTCTCTTACTGACTAAAAACCCCCGTTCCTGCTGATTTATTTGGACCCTGGCTTAGCTTGGCTACTAGGCAATTAACGTTGCCTTAGAATATTTGTTTTAATTTAGAACTAGGAATCTCGTGCGTGTAATTTGCATAGGCATAAATTGCATTGAGCTAATTGTATGCTTTTTGCAGCGGGCGTACTCATCAACATCGAATGTCGAGCGTGGGCCAGGAACATAATGTACGACAGACATGAGGGAATGGGCACAGTGCATATTGAAATTATGATCGAGTAAAATGCGAGTACCAAGGAAGCAGAAGAGAGAAGATGTGAAAAGTAAAATGTGTTTTTTATTGAAACAGAATTTAATATCAACCTGTATTTTTATAAGGCGCGTGTACACCCGGAGAGTTGATGTTTGCATGAAAATAATTTAGGTATAATTACTCAACGCCAAAGATGAAAGTCCTTTGCAAGTAAATGTTAATGTAACAATAATTAAATTGCCTATAAGACAATCAAATTGAAAAAAACAAAAATCAATCTTATTATTAAATTTTGAACGTAAATTTCCTTTTAAAGGACAATTATTTATATAATAATAATAATAATTAGGTTTTGGGTGCCTATTGTTTTAATTAACCAAAGACGATTTTTGAATGCCTAAGATGAAGACAAATCCTTACGAAGATTTTACGTAAAATTTATATCTATATTTATAGTATTTATATATTTATTGTTTGTATGTGTATATTTAGAGATTGTCAAACTGCGTGATGGTCAATGGAGTGAGAACATTTGTGATTTTTCTTAATAAATGTAGATTTTGAAATCTTCTTTTTATCAAACATCCAATTTCATAAGGCTTTTTACCAAGTGTTGGTCTAAGCAAACGGATTACCTGTTGGCCAGCAATCGGCGCCATGCACGGACAAGGAGAAAAAGTATTTGAAGATTGGGGATTTGGATAAACTCGCTCACACGGCGAGGCCTTGGTATTAATTCTTGTTGATTGTCACATTCGGATCGATTCCTAGATTTATGTCACATACAATTTTTTATAAACGGTTCCCAGCTCTCAGGTTTTTTGTGAATCAGGATCAAGACTTGTTCCGTGCGGGAATTGAACCTGCGATACATTAGGAGCAGCCAGTTGCCCAGCCACCGCTCCAACCGGTTAGACAAATGTATTATAGCCCTAATGTCTACAATACATTTTTTCAGGTTGAAAAATAATAAAATTAAAGACACAGATCACATTCTATTTAATTTCAGTAAGTACTCGTTTAGGTACAAAAAAAGCATATTATTATGTTTATATTATGAAGTAAGCACAGAAGGTATTTATTATTTCAGGATCAGTTTTCAGTATCACTTTTTAACTAAATGTTCTGTGACAATTTGTGTTTATCTTTATGGCAAATGAATGTAATTTAAGGCTAAAAGTCTGTAAATAACTCAAAAATATTGTAGTAAAAAATCTTGTATAAATATTCAGTCCTTTTGTATGTGTGTTTTAGCCCTAAGTAGTTACATTCGACAAATTTTTTTTAATTTATAACGTGACATTTATTTTCGTGCAAATATTTTTATCTAAATTTCATTCTACACAATAATTAATTAAGGAGCGCTTATACTAAGGAAACTGTATCCTGTCTTGTGTATTATCCAGCTGTTTGTTATTACATTTTTTCTATCACTCTGTGTATCAACAACTTAGTCACAGAAACTTATAACAACGCCATCTAGTGCTAAGGACAATCAACACAGGGTACAGCTCACTCCCGCCCTCTATGCTGCGTTAATGGTCCCATTCAGTCAATCATGATCTCCAGGTGCGTGGAGCCGAACCTGTCCTTCAGACTATCAGTGTAAATAATGTTGCGCGCCCATGCTCGGCAACGAATGTTGATTATTTGATGCACTGGAAAAAAAATACACTTGATAAACTGGAACCTTTTCTCTTTTGAGTTTTCAACTAGATTGCTCATAAATATGTGATCAGGATATTCTATAGACCTGATCTACGTCATAAAATAATAACATTCCCTCGTTTCCTATTTAAAAAAAATTGCTATCCGTATCAAGGATATTTTCCTGTGTCGTGGGTCCGTTTTAAAACATACAATTTTTCATTTCTTGGCACTCAGACCTGGAATTCCATTGGATGGTGGATTTTCACAAAGAGCTGTTCCGTACGGGAATCGAACCCGCGACCTCTTGCGCCGCAGCCTCTGAGCCAACCGTGCGTGCCTTCACGGTTGCAGAGCAAGCACATATAAGTAACCAAATCACACTTACGCTTAGGTCTCAGTAACTGCACAGCAACGAGCGGACTCAGGTATCCAGGAGTGTTGTCGTAAGGAAAGTAGACCTCAGACAGACCAGGGTACGGCCAGTACTTCAGCTCACCCAGGGCTTCCACGTCAGCCGGCCGCTCACCCATACACGATACCCACACTTTACGACGCTGAAAAAATGATTGTTTTTTCTCATAGGTATCTGGTATAATTTGGACAGTAGATTAAAATAACGTATCTTACAAAATATAATAACTTCTATTGGAATTCTAGCGTTCAAAACCAAAATATACTTCGGTGATCGAGAATGGCATGTGGGGCTGCCTAATCCAATACGGTAGTTTCCAACTAGTCAAATTCAATACTTTTATCCAAATGTCAAAAACGAGATTTTTCTAGTAAAGAAATTTGTATGAAAAACTGAGTTATGACGTCATAGTATTTTTGCGTCAAATAGCTTACTTTTTTCTTAATAATTAGCTACAAAATATCTAAATCTTAGTGTATCGATCGATTGATGAATAAAAGTATCGTTATTGAAACGTCGAATTAATTTATTTTTGACCTAAGAAACTACCCAATTCCCAATTGAGGAGTTGTACCTCATAGGTAACACTAAGACTCTACGTAGAGGGCGTATCACAAGAAAAAATAAACAGCCCCAATCCCCTTCCCCGAATCTCCAATTCTCAGATCACTAACAACCCACAAAAGACCAGCAATGCACTTGTAATTCATTTGTTATTGCGACTATCCATAAGCGGCGCCGATTGCTTACCTTCAGATTACCTATCTGTTTACTCGTTGGCCAATCCTTCTTTTATAAAAAAAGTAAATTCAACATAATATAAAATATTCGAAAAGACTAACTTCTTGTGCAGTTGCGTTCCTGATATAGTTGGTTATGTCTGGTGGCATCTCAGGGGGCAAGTCGCCAGGATCGTCGTAGAAGTCAGGGTTCCAGTCGTATAACTGTAACAACGAAAACAGCATATCAAAAACTCATCAACATCACCCTGATAAGGATAAAATTTCAGGTACAAGCGCTAAAATGTACCTACCTAGCTCGGAGCAGGAGAAAGAATGTGGTGGCTTTTAGTCAGTAAGAGTCTGATACTCCCTCTCGCCCGACTCAAAGAGGGAGAAGTAACTAAATGATTTTCCTTCTTCAAGTTTTGACAAATAGCACCACGCTTGCTGAAGGCGGAGTGACGATTTAAAACCCAAAATTAGAACTAGATTTCCTCGCTATCTTTTAGATTTGATAACGTCACAATGGTATACTTGCCAGGTGTCGAACCTACATCCACATGAGATTCAGAAGCCTCTTTCTCGCAATTCTGCATGAGAAGCAGAAGCCTTATCCTATGGGCCACCACGACCTCACACCTTGACCTCCAGTTACCATCAAAATGACAAATCTATACTATTCTGCGAGTTTTATAAAATCTACATTAATGACGTCATGTTTATGTGTGTCAAATTGCAGACGCATTTCTTCAATATTTAAAAAAAATATCTCCAAAACAATTAGGTAGGTACTACTCGTATATCATATTTTGTTTAATATTTGAACGTACGAAAGGACTAAATAATAATACATTCCTGAAATGAATAGTTCCTCTTACCCTGTTCAATTTGATAATAAGACAGGGTGTTTTGTTTGCATATCCATAGTTGTTCTCCATGGAGCAAGGCCCGAAATTGGTGGTGGTGTTGAAGTCGCAGACCTCATTCCGTGGAGGCTTCACGTCACCACAGTCACGCTGGTTCACGCCTTGGTTCACCAACAAACTCTTGTTGTTGTATGCTGGAAGCAGGAGCAAGATATTAATAATGTTTTGACGTACAAAATGTTGAAAAACATATAAGACTTTTTTGATGGCATTGAAAGAGTATCAAAATATTTTGAAGATATGTCTTTTGGATTCTTAAGTACCTATATATGTATAATTTTAATCATGATTTTAATAGACCCAGATAACGTGACTCTAAGATAAATTTGAATATAGAACGTAATCGGTGTGTATTTAAGTTTGTCATGTATTTAAAAAAAACTTAGACTTTTTCACCGTTTGTCTAGTTTGCATTTTTTATGTTTGTCATTAAGTTTTTTTTTCGGTAATGAAACCTATCTATTCTAATCTTATACCTTTTAACGAGAAAATAAATTTTAATCAGCAATTAATATGCTTAAAACTAAATATGTATAAAAGATCTCGTAACGGCTGCAACGTTTTCGATAAATAGTTAATGTAAAAGATTTCGAGCACGAAAAATCAATCCAGATAAGTGCCATATTCAGAAAATAATAATAATTATAAGGTTCTTATTTATGAAGTAAAATGGACTCACGCGCAAGAAACTGGTTGATGTTGTCCACGTACTTCTTGACTTGAGTTTCATTGTCAGCTTTGTACCAGATAAGAGCTCCTTCCTCGAACAGTATCGGCCTGTGACCCATGCCGGGGTTAGCTCCTGGAATTATAGAAATTGCCATCATAAGTCACAAGTTGTGTCTACGGGACTTAAAAAAACATATACATTTTTAAATAGTTACAATGGAGTTCCTTTTTTTTTACTTGCAATAAACTAGTGCTTGACTGCGATCCCACCTGATGGTAAGCAGTGATGCAATCGTTGATGGTAAGGCGCACTAGTTTATTAAGAGACTATTCATTCTAGCCTTGAAGACACCTAAATTATATTCGGACGGAAAGACTGCAGCCGGCAAACTGTTCCAATCCCTCGATGTACGCGGTATAAATGACGAGGCAAAGCGCTTAGTCCGGGCCGCAGGTGTCTCAACAACGTAAGGGTGGATATTCGCCTTACGCCGCGATGTCCGAAGGTGAAATTGGGATGGCGGGATCAAATTGTGCAATTCCTGAGCACACTCTCCAAAATGCATCCTGTAGAAAACCGCAAGGCTGCCTACTCTGCGCCAGTGCTCGAGACTTTGACTTTGTGCTCGTTCTTTTCCATTCGAATCTACACTTTGGAACGAGTAACTACTTAGTTTCTGACGGACAGATTTTTCTATTTTGAAAAACACCTATTTAAATTGTAAGACAAAATCGTTTTCTCTGATTTTGATGCGTTTTTTTTTATGATAAAGCGATTGGAGAGGAACTTTCATTAAATAGTGGAGAAATTTAGTACCGGAGGGCCCAATCCTTTCCCTCCTCAATTCCTAAATCTCCAAATCCCTAATCCCCAAAAGGTCGGCAACGCACTCTTAACTCCTCCGTTGCTTTGATTGCTTACCATCAGGTAATCCGTCTGCTCGTTTGCCGGCCTTCTCGCTTGTAAAACACTGCCAACCGTAAAAGTAGCCACTGCAAGCAGACTGCCATTACTCTCTTTATTATTAATAACAGAGTCATATTAACATATTCTAAATTCTATACGAGGTACTACTAAAACGTTTTGAAATAAAATGTAACACAAACAGAATAAAAATTCACTTCGAACATTTTGCGAACTAAGTCCTTGAACTCTTTTTTAAGATCTTAAAATATATTTTAAATAACTTTTGACGGATGCTTCTACTGCGTGTATAAAATAAACATTCCTGATTTAAATATTTCCCTTACGTACATATACATTAAGGAATTTCTTCTTATAGAATAATATTAAAAGATGGGAATAAAAATGTATTACATTATCAGAGAGAGAGAGAGAGAGAGAGAGAGAGAGAGAGAGAGAGAGAGAGAGACTTCGCTGCCAGACGATAGGCAAGGGCAGAAGTATATAAGACATATACGTAAGTATATTTCCGTCTTAAAGAAAGAAGTGGCATAAATATGATCTCCACGCTTGGCAGACACGATGGAGATTTACACTTTAACCGCTACATGTTTATCAGACGAACTACTTAGGTACACGTTAAGAATTAGTTTTTCTATGATCTATCAATAAAAATGCTACACTGAAACATCACCTATCGGTTTGTTTCGAAGTAACTTATATGGTCAGGTTTTTCAATTATCTAAAGTTAATTTTACCTCCTTTTTTCAAAACTCATCCTCCCAATCGGTTCAAAGAAAACGGTACTAATAATGTTAGCGGAGGTACAATCCTTCCCCCGCCCTTCTCATTGCCAATTTCCTATCCTAATTTCCCTAACTCCCGTGCGAAGACGCGACAACGGGACAACTCTACTGGTGACGTGTGGATGCGCTGGCTCAATCTCATCTACTTATAAGTAGACATATCGACTATATTATCTTTCTAAAGACTTACCAATGATGGAGTCAGCGAGGGTGAAGTAGGGGATCCTTTCGTCCATGCTGGTGAGGAGACCACACATGCAGATGGAGAAGAAGATGATGATGCAGATGTACATCACCAGGTAGATCAACCCAATCACACCTGGAACATTTAAATGTTCTATCATCAGTGACTGTGAAAAGGTGAAACCAAACGAAGGTTCCTCGGAAGGTGTAGGATAGGACAGCAGTAATTATTGGAGTAAGACAACATGCTATATCTAGAATGAAAGGAAGGAAAATCGATGCATACTTAACTCACTACAAAATCTAACCGACTTCCATAAAAGGGGAGGAGGTTTCTCAGTGCAACCGTATATAATACTTTTATATTTTATTCTTGTTACCCACACTAATATTTTCCTGTGTTTCAGACTCTTACTGACTAAAAACCTCCCCGTTCCTTTTCCTGCTCTGGGCCAAGGCCGCGGTGCCTCATTGCGCTTACCCCGCAACCCCGTCTGAACATCAGCCCTATAGGGTGTGGCCCTTCTGTGGTGATCTATTGGTTTTTAGAGGCGCGCGCGAAACGCTACGCGCCCTACGGTCGGGTCTGGTTCTGGTCGGGGGCGAGCTCTGTGTGATGGGCGTGTTCACAAATATAGACAATGACATGCACATACACAGACAACAATTTGTCGTTAACACGAAGCGTTGGTGCCGTGTGGGAATCGATCCAGCCACTCCGACAACCCTGCGGTGTAACTGCTCCATGAGTAGGTGCAGCCAAGAAACAGGAAGTAGAAATTAGATGACATTCACTGCATTTAACTGATACTCGATTAAAACTCGATTCCTCCACAGTTATAAAGAAACAAGAGTTTTTATTGAAGCATTATTTAATGGTATCTGTATTACAGTAGATCACAAACAGACAATAACAGCCAAAACAAATAGATCAATGAACGTATGAATAAATTGTTTGATCGCTCAGTTAGCGGCGCATACGCATCATTGTCAATTATCACATCATTTGCACGGTTTACTTATAATAAAATGCTTAATGGCTTGTAGCGAAATAAAAATTGAATAGCTTGATAAAAAAAATATTGCACGGTTTTCGCGGTGGCTGGGCAACTGGCTGACGGGCAACGTGTCGCGGATTCGATTACCACACGGAACAACTCTTTGTGTGATCCACAAATTGTTGTTCTGAGTCTGGGTGTGATGTGTATGTGACATTGTATGTTTGTAAACGCACCCACGACACGCGAAAAAAACTTAGTGTAGGGCAACGTTAAAAAGAAATATATAACTTTTAAGACAAGGCCAGCTTTATATACGATTTTATTGACAAGTTGCTACTTCATGTGCAAAGAGAAGCATTCAGTTTGATACCTACCTTTTTGGTATATTTACTTACATAGAATAAAACAAAGTCGCTTTCTTTATCCCTATATTCCTATGTATGCTTAATCTATGAAACTATGCATCGGATGTCAATACGATATTTTGAATAGACTGATTGAAAAGGAAGGTTTATAAATATTTTATTAAAGAGTGGAGAAATTATGTGTGGCATTTCAATCGTGGCGAAGCCGGTGCGGTTTGGTAGTAGGTATATTAATAAAAATTAGTCTTCGAAAGGGACGATTTTTTTTAAACGTCGTCGTATGGACGCTACCTAATGGAGTCCCTCAATTCCACATTCAAAAATGTATTTAAATAAAATAGTAAACTCAATTTTGAGACGAATCAGACGATCGTCATAACGCAATGCAAATACCGTCCGTCATAAAACTAATACATTTGTACCGAAAATATATTTTACGACACTTCGTGTTCATTGCGAAGGAAATCATTGCTAAGCTACGATCTCTGCCAGTGACGCAATCTCTGACGGATCTCCGTAAGCCTAAATGCTTACTCAAATCAGCTGGATAGAGATCTACATAAATACAACATTTTACATCGCGGCTTAGCGATACTATGAGCTAAGGTACTGCGGCCTTGGCCTGGAGAAGGAGATGGAAAGGAGGGTTTTTAGTCAGTTAGAGTCTGATACTACAAACTACAAACTAAATGATTACATACAAGATACTCATACTCATTTGTAGTATACTCATACTACAAACTAAATGATTACATACAAGATAAAAATGCTTGGAGGCTAGCTGGTCCTACTCCACAGGATGTTTAGAGTATTTATTTTTTTTATTTTAATTATTAAATTGTACACTATGTTGTTAATTGTTGATGAACTTCTAAGATTTTGTAAATGTGAGTGCCCTGTAACCTATTATAATTAAGTAAGACTTGTAGAATATAGGTACTTGTGTCGGCTGGGAGCTGTCATGCTCACTCAGAGGTCTCATTGGCGGTGGCACGGGCACTGGATCGTCCAATTCCCTATAATATGGTTGAGTTGGGCGGTGCTGGTGTACGTGTCATGTTCGTGAACGGGCGCCGCCTATTGGGACTGGTCATCTCCAGGCTGTCTAAATATGTTGTCCTTGAGGTTCACTTCTTTTTTGTACTTTTTGCCTGAACATTAGTGTTACATTGTTCTCACATATCAGAACCGACTAAATGATGTAACAAAGAAATGTATTGTAAAACTGATTGAAAAAGAGTAACCATGGAGTTTCTTGCTCGTTCTTCTCCATAGGAATCTACACTTTGGAACGAGCAAATAGCTTCACTAGAGGACAGACGGACAGACTGACACGCTTAATTTTAAAGCTCTAGTTATATATACTTTTTTCCTTTTTTGCTTGCTTGACGTTCAAAAGTGCCTACTGTGGTCTAATTGAAATAAATGATTTTTGACTTGACTGACACTTCCTCTCGCCTCACCCTGGACGAGATAAGTAATTTGATGATTTTTTCTACGAAAAAAGCGCTATGCTATAGAAAGAGAATCAAATTTTGACTAAAAGCCATGTAATATTTATTAAACCTGACCACTCAAATATATTTATTAAACCTCACTACTGTAATATTTATTAAACCTGTGCCACTGATGAGTGTCGTCGAACATGTACCACTTGTTAAAGTAGTCGCAAAATTTCTCAACTCAACATAATAAACCTTGAAATCAATCACGAAAGAAAGAAAATAGCTTTATCGATAGCTTCACCTTTAAGGCCATGTATTTATAGTATTCTAAATTTACACGTATCCGTAAAATGTGGAGTTAACATGGTCCCAAATGCACACGTCAAAATGGCGGCCAATATGGCTGAAATAGCCAGCGCAAGCGCAACGCAACCCGGTCACTCATTGTTTACTTTGGACACGACGTCACGGTCCACGGTCGTCAGGGATGGCAGGGTTTTCAGTTCTGTGTTGCCTAGGGATACCCGCGACAATGAAGGAGTGACAAGTGCGTTGCTGGCCTTTTTTCACGTTCCAATAACATCACTAAAATAGAAATGACAAACAACGATAGCAAGTCTTCAATTAAGTAGAAAGTACACAGAGTAAATTAATTCCGCTAAAAGCCCAATGTAGGTTGATCACTTTACCTAATATAAATTAACCTTTACTGCGTCAATATCTTTTACAACATCTGTCGGGCACTGGAAAATATAACAATGTGGGTCAATGTCATAAAGAAAATATAGGTACCTAAATAAAATAAACCAGTTAACTATAAATTATTTCGATCGCCTTGATCAAGAGTGGTGATTAAAGCTGAAAACTTCTCCGAGTTAAAAGTGGCCTTTGCTCAACAGTGGACACTTATATGAAATTTTAGAAGTAATTTCCAATATTTTAGATTTCAAATAATATGAAGGGACCCGTGCAGTGTAACAGTGTTAACAAATCAAACACTTTCATATAGTAAATGAATCTATTTGTTAAAGCAACCCTGAATACCTGTAGGATTTACTACAAAAGCACGCGTTGTTGAACGGACGGCTGACATATGGGAATTCGCGGAAACATAGGGTGCGGTGGAAAACACCGCGGGGACGGAAATTTTCCATTCGTGGACAGTTAATAGGACACGTCTACCAAGTGTAATGTTTGTTTGTCCATTTTTTATCCGGAATGTTTTCTAGAAACATAGCAAAATTGGATCAAATGCTGCAATTGTTTAAGTTATACATCTTCTTTTATATATTGACACAGCACCGACATGACGCTTGCGACCTTTAAAAAAAGTTAAAACACCACAACTTATCTACAAACACAAACAAAGGTAAGGTTCAGTAAAAAATCTCAGCCTCACAAAATACTGGCGTGAAAAAACGGTTGCATTAGTTTCTCGTGTGAGTGTGGTGGTTACCAGGTACCCTCCCCCTCGCATCATCACTTCCAAAATCCTCCCAAAAGACCGGCAATGCACTTCCCGGCAACCTTAGGAGAACCAGATGTCCATGGACGGCTCCGATTACCGATTTTTACAACACAGCTTAGAAGCTCAGGGCTTAGTAAGAGTCTGACACATCTATCCCCTCAACCTGGACGAGAGAATAACATTTCTTTTTATGTTATAGGTCAGCAAACGAGCAGACGGATTACCTGATGGTAAACAATCAGCGCCGCCCATGGACATCCACAACGGAGGAGTCACGAGTGCGTTGCCGATCTTTTAGAGATTAGGAATTTGGAGATTTAGGGATTGGGGAGGGATCGTGGGAGGGAAAGGATTAGGCATCCGGTACCCTCACTCACACGGCGAAACGCAACGCTGGGGTTGTTTCACGCCGGTTTTCTGCGAGGCCGGTTCATTCCGGTCGAGCCGACCCATTCATGCCGAGGCATGGCTCCCCCAAACCTATTTGCAGACTTCCCCTCTCAAAAAAAACATGTGAGCCTCCTTATATTAGCCACCCTATTCCATAAATAAACAACCACATTCTTTTCCTACACAGAAATAAAAACAAAAAACCACTCACTTGAGTAGATTGATACGTTCTAACAAAGTTTTATTATGGACAGTGAAATCATCATAAAAGTGCTATCACTAATGAAAATACGAGTAGTCACATTACTGACGTGTATACAGGTATACCCATTACAAATAATACTGTTGTTGTGAACATACTCGTATTGGATGTTCATCGTTGTACATTTATTGCGATTCTACGTAGACAGAATCAGTTTTAGAAGTTTGCGTAGAACCGACGTCATGGATGGATTGGGTTCAATTTT